ATCCATTGCGACGCTAAAAAGCAGCGGGAATGTGCTCTTTTTGTGTACAGATATAAAGGTAAAAAAACAACTGAACAGCGCACGAACTTGCGAGAGACTCGTCCAAAAGCGAACAATATCAGCTGTGCGTTCAGCATCAAGAAGTGCTGCTTCTTCGTAGTGCTGCAGTTCTCGCACAGCATCTGTCCTCTAAATCCCGTTGCAGTTGCTCTTCCCGTGTTAACATTGGAGTCGAGTCTCGACTGGCTGATCTACATATTTGATAACGTCTCGAAGTGAACGAAGTTGTTAAACCGAAGTTACCTCGAAGTCACTTCACTTCGGCAATGTACTACTTCCGGTACAATCGGCACCCCATAGAAGTCGGCAGGTCACACATTTTAGCGCGAAAACGTGATACTTTCGTTACAATTGGTCACCGTCAGTCACATTCCGTCATACGAAAAAGCGTGACTGCCGACTGCCGATTGCACCGGAACGATAGCATTCATTCATTCGTTGCACAATGTTCCCCGGCCGCCCTCAGATCTCCGGGGTTAGATGATCAATAGTAGGTAATGCACTGCGCTCACCGGTGATGGCAAATATGAAATGTGTCACCACTCCGAAATTATTCGGGTTCTCGAACAAAGTACGCAGACGCGAACACCTCAATCACCACTCAGGAAGCATTATTTCCGATCAAAGTTAACGTTCACCCCGCACTTCCTTCTCTCACCGAAAACGGTCAACGGCTTGCCGCTGCTTGCCCTCCACTTGTATTGCAGCGTAAAAACCGGCGCTGATGGATAGGTCTCATGATTGTGCACTGTTGTAGCCTAGTCGTAGAGCAGCACTTCTCCTACCCGCACCCCTTCTTCCTCCTTGCCGCCGCCCAACTTACATTAGCCAACCGGTGAGTTCTTGCTAGCGATTACGTAGATTAAGATTGCGGTGGTTTTTCATGATCATATGTTGCTTTATATTCCAATGTCACGAAACGCGAAACTATATGACTTTATATGACAATATCTGCGGTTTTCTGATGGTAGTGTATCATGCCACTGTGGTTTTACGATGGACCATGCAATTCATTGATTGAATTATGACTATCATTCATAGTCTATATTTAACCGGAAAAGGTATATACTACGATAGCAGGTGCGACTCGCGAAATGCAGCTGCAAAGTGGGGGGGGGGGGGAAACCTTCGAATGAGGACACAGCTAAAATCCCTGACACCCACTTTAAAAGTGGGAGAGGGTTCTGTCCACAATAAATGTCGGTTGGGTGAAGCTCGCGTGGCATTCACGTGGCGTTCACGAAATTCACCCCATGGACGTGGTTTAGTCACAACCTGCCTGAGGAGGAAATGCTATTCTGCGTACCAAATTTGTTTGAAAGCCCATTTCAAATCGAACACATGTACGTGGATATCGGTGTCTCCCTCCCTCTTGTCTCCATGTGGCGACTATTTCAACAGATGTGATTTCTATCTTCTTGAAACGCCCGCGGCCCCTATACTGCGGACATAACAGTTATCATAATTTCAACATGCATTCAAGTTGTGTCTTACAGGCCTCCTAGGCCTTCCTGTGTGCGGCAGGTGTAGTTCCTCCTGCATCTATATTATTGAATAGTGACGACTGTTCATGGAGGCCGGACAAACTCGGAAAGGAAGGCCATCTTGTGTTCGACCTCAACAACACACGTATTTTTGCTCTGTTTATTGCCGTCATTGGACATGATGTGGGTTATCCTGGGTTGACAAACATGCTCATGGTATGATATGCACAGCAAACTGACAGAGTTCCACCTGACATTCATTCGTAGAAAAATGCGAAGGCACCATTATCTGATGTGTACGGGGTGGATGTCAGCTGGCCGAGGAACAAGATCGAGCCGATATGCTCCATGTGCGTCAATTATGATAGATCGTAGTTCAGTCAATGCATTAATGAAGTTCGAGCTGGACTGATATGTATGACAGAATGTGGGCAATACAGCCTAGCTGTTGATTCCGGTCAGAAAATCAGTAGATATCATGTATCACTCAACGTAGTTTCGATAACAATTCGTTGCAAGCTAGCAGTACAGATGTCGGGGACTGGCGCGGTCGAGCGCCGTTACGATCAACTAGTACTACTAGTAGACACAGTTCAGACCCTGCAAAATGAACGCATTGTGACATTATTAATATTGCTGGCACCAGCCTGCTGTTGGTTGGGGGCCACTTACGTGTAATACTAGTACTGGCACTGCTGGTTTTCGCCGCGGCTTGGCAGCCGAATGGAGACCTTGCTTTATTTGCAATTGTTATCACCACCCGCGAGGATACTATCATTCGATGGGAAATGCACAATTTTCACTTATTGCTGAATAGCAACACAACAACAACACATATTCGTATCGGATATACTGTAGTGTGTACCTTAGGTCTCTGCGCATTAGGCCCAACAAGAATTATTTTATTTTATTGCGAGCTTGTTGCAGCGGCAGCACTGGAAGTTGAGATGTCGAAAACACAATAGAAATGCACAATTTCGTCACACCATGTCACGCGCGGCACCTCGGCTAATACACAATGATATTCAAAGTCCGACAGCGCGCAAAGCGAATGAAAGTTCAGTGTTGGCGAATGCAAACAAAGCGGAGACTCAACCAAGCCGAGAGTGTGATTTTCCAATCTAGCCTGACTGTCACGCTTTGCTCATGAATCGTGAATAGCACGCTGTGGTGGTGTTCTATTGACATAGAAACACCTGGAGTAGATTCAGAATGGTGTATTTCACATATGTTGAAGTTCTTATGTTGGTAGGTTAATGGGATCTGGGTGGATCTTGCATTTAGTGTCCAAAAATCACTCATTTTGGGTACACTCGCACGATGTTTCATCTCGGGAAGACTTCACAGCGCCGGTTTTAAATATTTGATTTGGTAGTCTTATTGAACATATGCTAATACTTGTCCTCCATCTGTTCCGAATGAAATATATGTAGAGTGGTGAACTCTGGAGTGCATTGTGCATTACCCATCGATTGTGCATTCCGAATCAGGTGTATCCACCGAAAATTAGAGTCTGTAGCACCCTGTTATGACTCCGAGCTTGCTCGGTTGCCGCAACCACCTCTGCAAAAAAGTCCGAACACCCGGTCTCTTTATCCCTGAGACAGACCCCAGAGACATTGGCTGGCTACGTAAGTTGAATATTATTATTCCATTCTTGTTTGTTTTTCTTTTTTCTTCATCGTCGACCATGATGATGGCCGCTCCCAAATTTTACTGCTCGTCCATGTTTCCTGCCACGACCTTGACGCCACCCACACACAGCTGCACCCTCCACCGTGCGTAGTACTTAGGCCTCCTCCCTGCTGCTATTGCCCATGACCTCCCGTCGCTCCCTATGCCCGACCGCCACCTCCGACAACCTCCTGCAGCATTGGTGTTGCCCTCCGCGTCCATCTACAACCTCCCACTGCCACCCACGCCCAGGAGCAACCTCCTGCAACCTCCCACTGTCCTGGCACCATCCTCGACGCTTCCCCACTCGTACCTCAACGTAGTGCTGCCGCGCACACGCTCAGCTACAACCTTCCTCATCTTCCTGCTGACCTGCCGCGGACCTCGTCTGCCCACCACGCTCAACTTCGACCTACCGCTGTCCACATCAACCTCCCGAACCTTCTTGTCACCCCGGCGCTGCCCCCTTCAATTAATGACTGCCCGCAATATTTCGTTACCTCAGCGCGCCTCTCGCACCTTTCCCCCCCTTCTTCTGTACCTTCCCTCTCCCTCTCTTCACACTTTGCTACACATACATATACCCTTACTATTTACTTGATTATCTATGATAAGGTTAGATACATATTTTGTGAATATAACAATGCAATATTTCAAGCAGTGACTAGAGTTGAATCCCACTCGCAGCAAGCTTCTTCGGTTCACACATAGTAGCCGAACAATACTCGCATGTTTTTCACCAAGAACCAAGCCTTAAACTCACAGTTTACAACAATGCACTATATTTTATGCACATACTAAAGTAACACGACGAAAATACGATAACGACCATGATGATGACAACAAGAGGAGAAGGCCATCGAGGGCACGAGAAAGATACAGGAGAGAACATGGGTGACGACGAACACCACAGTATGGGGGGAGAAAGGAAGCAGTATGGGAGCTGCAGAAGTGAGGCATAAATACTATCTGTTCCCGTACACTCGGCACCCCCAGAAGTCGGCAGGTCACACATTTTAGCGGGAAAATGTGACACTTTTGTTTCAATTGGTCACATGCAGTCACACAAAACCCTGCGAAAAAGCGTGACTGCCGACTTCTGGGGGTGCCGAGTGTACGGGAACAGATAGTACGAGTTGGCAATGCTGTCACCCTGCCGTCAATCGCACCTTTCTCTGAAGGTTTCTGGGGTCTTGGACCCTGTGAATGCCGTGAGGGTGTTCGGACTTTTTTCTAGAGGCAATTAAGGGAACCGAGCTAGCCCGGAGTCATAACAGGGTGCTCAACACTCCGAAAATTAGTGGCTGATCGTGGCTGATCGTTAACGTCGGTGTACATAATACTACGAAAGAAGTGACATGACAGAATTTTATGTAATCTCGTCAGAATAAAAACATCATTGTCGGAATAATTTTAAAATCACACGATAAATGGTGGCATGAACAGTGCTCGTGCATTCGGGAGAAGCAACGCTGAAAGCAATAAGAAAAGTCACTCGGGATTTGCCGGTGTTTGTGCGAGTGGACGATTTGCAGAATTATTGAGATGGCATATGACCTTGCAAGCAAGGTGATTTTGTTTTTTTGGTTTAACTTCAGGTCTCTTCGGGTCTGCTTCTTGATCGCTCAACTACTTAAGTACTAGTTCCTTCATCTAAACAGCCGACTCGGTCGAAGTTCCTCTCTCAAAGTGCTTTGGAGCAGTTCGCTTTTGGTTTAGTTCAGGTTTGCATTCGTAAGCACACATTTTTGGTTGTGTTCATCATCTCCACCAATCGCATAAGTGCGCTACTGAAGTCGTAAGCGAGTGGTTTTGTAGATGGCCGCATTGAGTATATATCCAAATTCAGCGAGTACCTTCACCGCTGGCCCCTGGGGTATTTTCTCTCGTACTCGCTGAATTTGGAGATATACGAGTCAATGCGTTATAGGTGATCATTCTCCACATGACATTAGCTTGGTCAGAACCTTCTTATTTTCTAGAAACCGAGCGGGCTCGAAATCATATAAGAGGGTGCTCGACACTCTTAGGAAAGCTAAGTCCTCGCACACCTTGTGTACCCCTTATTCATAGCTGAATTGAGAGATTCAACCTATCCTCTATGACATGGCTACGCCCGCAGTTTCAACCTTCGTTGACACTGTGATCTTGCGACCTATCGTCGTGGCGATAAACACTTTTGCGCTCGCATCCCTTGTGTCTTACATAATCGCCGAGCAGCTTGACTGGAGGCCGGTAAGCCCTCTTATTGTGAGTTACGGCCCTTCAGTCTGCTAACTAAGTAGTGAAAAAGATCACCATATGGGTGACATGCGACATCATTGCTGTTGGTGTTGACCACTTGAAGGATCAAGAAGTTGCCATTGGCGCTTGCGGCGCGGCTGTCGCAAAGCGCTTCGCCCCTCTGATTAACATTGGCCGTATTTTCCTGGCGTTGAATGCATCGATGCTTGTGATTGCCCTATGTCAATGTCCACCAAAAACGACACTTGTCACTGCAGTTTTTGCTGCTCCTGCTTTTCTGTGGGCGACACCGCTTGAACCTCAGCGGATTGGCGTAATGCTCAAGAATCTCATGCGTGCGAAACATGATAAACAAGTGCGAGGTTCTTCGCCGACATTTAGCAATTCACTCGTCATCAAACGAGTCCCTGGCATGAAGGCTATATTCAACGGTATCATCCGAGGGTATGTACTATCACATCGTGAGAGTTTATCGTTTCTAACTTGATGACAGTTGTGGGGTATTCTTCGTTGTTAACTCAGCGCTGCAGGTATCGCAGGTGACAGACCGAGCCGCGCCCCCATGGATGCTCATTGAGACTATCATCTGGTCGACGGTCAATCGCACTTGTCATTCTGTAAGGAAATTCTCTGCTTGTAATCAAACCTCCAACTCAAGCTCTCCCAAAGGTTATGACGGATGTGCGTGACTTTGATGATGACAAGAAGGCTGGAGTCCCGACTATACCCGTCCTTCTAGGATCCCCCCTTAGGACTCGAGTAGTCTTGACTATTATTCAAGCAGCCATCATGATGGCCTTTCGCCACAACTTATACATTTTAGCCAGTTCCTACTTTGCGATTGCTCTCGTTTGGATCCTAGGGAAAGATTCCCCGAAGGTGTACTTCCTACTCAGTGTTCACTCACAGTCGATGTTTATCTTTATGTACGCTGTTGAAAAAGTTGTTCTCCCTAGATTATTCTACTAGGCTAACCCTGGACTTGGGTTTCCTCAACAACAACTGGAGCAATAAAAATTTTCACTTGACTCGCACCCAGGTTCACGATGTTACTGCATTTCAACCCAAGGACATTATGATCGACCGAGAAACACAGAGGAATCACCAGGAGCTCTGGTTTGTGATTACGAACTTCTGTGTCGAAACCTACTCGTGCACAGAGTTGTGTGAATCCACTGTTCTCTATTGTAATTTGTGAGGCTCGAGGCTGGGCGCGAAAATCACACCACAACGACGATCGCGGTATGCTCAGGCTGGAAAAGAGCCATATGAAAAATCAGCGCTTCAGCTCATTACAAGACTCGGCACAGGCTTTTTCGAGGAATAAGAGGAATATGATCACCTATCACCTTCCGCATCGCGCAAAGTCGAGAATGCGTACTTTGTGTCCCTTCCATACCAAGTCGGTTAGCGGAGGCACCAGGATTGCTCATACTCGAGACGAGCGACATTGTTTTTGACGGTGATGTTGTACTGCCTCTACCTCACATCCTTTGGTCTGGTATGTTCCTTGTTCACTATGTGTGATATGGGATACTGACGCTGTGCTTGACCAGGTATCCAGAAGCTTTGCTTGGCCTGGCAATTCAGAAGCAATAAGCATCCTTTTTCAACCGACTCTTCATGGCAAACGACGGCGACAGCAGGAGGGCCACAAGAGGGCATATGTTCTCACACATCTACGCGTCTTCCCAATCTGGAAGGCACTTGTGCTTTGGATCGAGAACAGTACTTCCCAAAACAATTGCAGTGCCCCCGGGCGATTTCTGATTTCTGAACTGTTGAGCTTACTGGGTATGTTTGGGATCGAATGAAGTGTTCGGTTGCTCGACGTGGTCAAAACACATGTTCTCATGTATATGTCGCAGAATTGCGCTACGTCCTTATGAATGGGTAATTCGAAGGTAACTGTCACTAATCCTGCCGAGGGACTTGGTATGCGCAACGGCCCTTCGTGCAGGTAGATTGATTGTATTTCAAAACTGCTCTAGAGGTTGCATGTTCGACGTTCATTAGATGAACGTCGGACGGCAGGCTTCGCGAACGTTGAAATTCTGACATATAATATACTAGCCATGACGTGCAGGTCTACACAGGCACCCGGAATTCTGTCAGCCAACGATCACCGAGCAGTTCATGTCAGCCACCGAGCTTGAGGCATATAAAGGCTCGCTCTTCAGGCTCGTCAACCCATTCTATTTTGTCCTTTGACTTCAACAATTCAACTTCGTCTTCTTCTTCTGCTCCCTTCCATCTGCTACCCCACATTCGTTCATAATGCGCTCCTTTTCAACCCTCGCTCTCGCTCTTGTCCTCCCCGCCGTGCTCGCAGTGCCTCTTGAAGTCACCACTCATCACCAATATGTAGGTTCCCGAATATTCATAAAAGTGCACTGTTGATTCGCCTTGCCCGCCATTCTAGTCACCATCCTCCTGCGTCATCGCGGACGTCGCTTATCCAGACCCTCGGCACGCCCTCGTTCTCCTTGGCAGACGAGAACTCAGCCCTCCCACTGGACTATCTGAGCGCACTTTCACTGAACTGCTAGTCTGGTGCCATGGGTTCGGTCGTTCATCCTCTGGTCTGCTCGTCGCTCGTCAGGAAGGTAGCTGCTCTTCCGGCGCTTTCGGGGATGTACCAGGGAGTGATAGCACGGCTGGCACAACCAATTCAGGAGGCGCTCCAGACAGTTCTTCAGCGTCAGGTGATCAGAGTGATCAGAGTGCTGGAGCTTCCGCGGCTGGGCCTGAGTCGGTGACGCCAGCGAACGACACACCAGCCGCTTCACCTGCCAACTCTGTCGCTCGTCCTGTATCCGCCGACTCTCCACCTGATACACCTTCAGAGACGCCTGGCAGTGCAACTGGGCCCACAACATCTGGAACATCAACTGGCAATCCTGCCGATGACAACGCTCCCGGAACTCCAGCCAACCCTGCGGGAAGCACTCCAACTGGAAATGCAGCTGCGACTACCACCCCTGCGGATGGCAGGCGCGTCCGATGGCTCGAGTGGATCCTCGACAGAACAGTCCGGCCCATCTACGTCTGCCACACCCTCCACTGTGACATCCCAGATTGTGAACGTTGACATCACCGACAACCTTAATGGCGCACAGGCAAACGCAGCAGCAGTAGATTCAAGTGCGACTCCCCAAACTGTCAACGGTGGCACGGCCACTCCTATCAACCCAGCAACGTCTACTCCTTCAGCATCGGCCGATTCCCCTGCCGACGGTACGACTGCTGGAACGAGTACGGCTTCTCCTTGCCCATCTGATAAAATCACCGCTGAGGGTGTTGGGTCTGTGAGTACGGGCGAGGCGGCGATTTGTGTTAGCGTATAGCCTTGTAATGCAGATGTCTCTATTGACCGCGAATAAGGGGGAGTCCCTAAATGGTAGTCATGCAAACAACGCGCAAACAACGCGAACAACATCGTGACTGACTCAATCGACTACTTGCCTACAGCTTTATACCAGCAAGTAATACATATACCCGGGTCTGACCAGTACATACGAAGGCTCGTTCACAAATCATGTCAACTCATCTTGCGATACTGCCACTTGGTAAGCTCTTTGCCTCGTTCACACTAGCCTCCATGTCAACTTGTTTCGCTATTTTATGCAGACATTATTGGCACACTGACCACGCGGTTAAATCAAGAAAACCGCCATCCTGACTATGCAACCCGATTTTTAAGACTTCCACACCCACGTACAGGTTAGTTTAGCTGATACACGACTTCTGACATACTCGGCGCTTACGATGACAAGGTCTCTCATCGTTATTTCTTCTTCATGATCAACATTCACAGGATGATCCCACGAAGACGAGTTCGATATTAGAGGTGCAAGCGATATCCCCGACAAATGCAAGGACCTGGTTCGTAGGAGAGGAAGTCGTCGCTGGTGGGTATTGCAGATCTCGTTTCCAATTGTACGTACTTCTGACGCACAGGTATTCAGATGGAAAACTTATGGTGATGACGCCCATGGACCCCATGTTCTTGCTCATGAATCTTTTGCGCGTTCCACAAGCGGTATGTTATCAATCACAAAGTGCTGGTTCCCAAAACAATGTCTGTTTAACAGCGCGACGGCTCGAAAGGCAACTTCCGACCCATGCCAGACATTATAGAAGAAATCGCTGCGACGATTTCTGATGTGTCCGAGAAAGACGCTCAGAAAGACCCATCATTAAAAGTCTCCGCAGACGACGTTATTTCTTTTCTGTCTTTGGATTTTGTCCAGTCCTCTATAAAGCGTGTCTGTGACGTCAAGGGTAAGTGTCTAGAGTGTCGCGTAACCACTTATTTACATGCCTGCGCTCAGTTATAACGGAGGAGATTACCGTATATAGATACTCCCATGATATTGTGCTGGAAAATCTCAAAGGGAAAGTGGGACGCTTATCCGACCCCAGGGTCGCGGAGATGTCTCGCACTCTGGTACGGAACCTGGCGAAGGATGGCCTTATGGATGATGGAAAAGAGGAACTGCTTGAATGTATGTCATTTTTTTTTATCGCGTATCCCTTGCTAATATATACATTTTTCTCCAGCGGGACGGATCAAGTTGGCCTGCGAACTACTATCACAATACCTCCCCCGGGACATATTGCAAGACTTGATTGCGTCTTATGAGTATGCGTCCTTTTTATTTTGGCTAGCAGACATTAATAGTCCATTAGCTTCTCCAAACTGGATGCCCATTTGAAAACAGTCAGGGATGAAGAACTTGCCTTACTCGCTGCTGCTCCCGACACCGGGAAGAGAACTAAGGCTGCGAAAGCTGGTACAGCTGGCAATGGAAATCAGAAGAAGAAAAAAGACGTCAGAGTTGCGGATGCTGTTGCAACTGACGATGGAGATAAGAAGAGGAAAAAAGACGCCAAGTCGTCACACGGCGTAGAAAAGCTGAAGAAGGTCAATGTGGCAGGAATGTCGAAGTTGTCCACATTTTTCACGAAGAAAGCTGCATAATTTCATCTTCGAGTCATGCATCTCATGCTTGACGACCCGGCGCTGTGGCCATCTGGCAGGCACATTTGGTCATCCTGTTAGCTCAGGAAGATAAGAGGTTATTCCTCTGATCTCATGACCTCCCATGCAGACTCCGCAATCACATATTATATCCCCACCAGTCTCCTGACCCTTGCTATTCGGGAACGCTCTTGGAAATCCCGATACAAATACCCACCCTGTTTCCACGAATGCCACTTTCGTTACTTGCCTCCTCGAATATAGGATACAAGTATTAGTAGTGTCGAAATGCTTAGGACGGACCGGACGTTCGCCTTTCCATTTCTGGTCGTATTTCTGTTATCAAACCGAAGTAAAGTTTGGGTAAACTGCGGGTATAGATCGGTTCGACGTGGACGAGTGACGAGCAGCATGAGAACGGCACCCAAAATAATTATATTCTGCGCATTCAGCTTGCCACGAGTCCTTGCCAGAGGTATAATGAATACCCCGCGGCGGCGAAAGGCGTGCTAGCAGTCCCCGACTTCGGATCCCACGTGGGGTCAGGAGGTTGCCTAACAGGTTTATCCCTTCTAAATATACGTCATGTCCAAGCACCCCAAAAGATAGAGACTTATCACTGAAGGTTTAGTGTCGTTCAGCTGGTAATTAATTAATAGCTGTCGATATCAACGAGCAAAAAGAATGGTCGCCGAGGGCAAGTGGGAGATAACTTGAAGCGCAAATCTCAGCTTATGTAAAAGGTACAAAGAATTAGACTATAGCTAATCCGAAGTCAACTTTACGCCATCAGTCACTTTACGGGCTCCTCGGAGAGGCCCTAGCAGATTCTGACAAAATAATAATACCTGCAAAGTTGCAAGCTGCTCGGTCTACTAACTGACTAGCGGAAGGCTCGCCATACTTGCTCTTTGCAAGCCGTTGTGTCTTTGAAATTTGTGTCAGCTCACTTTGTCACAAGCTTGTGTCCTATATTCGTCATTATCGATATCCCTTGCTCACGATTGCGTGATATCGTCTCATCGCAGATCGCAATATGACGACGTTGCATAAGTCATCACAGAGGTTTTTGCTCACATTTTATCCTCTTAAACGTTAACGCTCATTAATATTGGTCTAGGCAACAGTCCCTTACTTACTACTCCCTATCATACCCAGATACTTATAGAAATGGCCAGTACACCTCATGGCGGAATTCTGAAAGTATGTTTTTGTATTTGCGTGCTTCAGTATGCCATCTGACATCGTATGGGTTATCAGGACCTTGTTGCACGAGATGAGCCGATATCCGGACAGCTCAAAGAAGAGGCTGCAAGGCTCAAGGACATTGTGCTCACCGAGGTTTGTCTCCCCATTCACCGGAACCTTGTCACTAAGTTTAACCTGGACCTTAAATAGCGGCAACTTTGTGATCTTGAACTGATTATCAATGGTGGCTTTAGTCCATTAGAAGGGTTCATGAATGAAGGTGATTATACAAGGTAGCAGAGATACCGGGTTCACGGAAATTAAGGCTGACATATTCTGTCAGTGTCGTCGATACACTACGGCTGTCTGATGGCACCCTCTTTTCTATGCCTATCACCCTTGACGTATCTTCTGCCGATGTCGAACGTCTCAGCATAGTACCTGGCGCTCGCATTGCCCTCCGTGATCCTCGTGATGATGAAGCACTTGCAATCATCACCGTTGATGATGTCTACACCTATGACCGCGTCAAGGAGTGTATTCAAGTTTTTGGTGCTGATGACGCAGCACACCCTTCCGTCGCGTACCTCCGTAACTGCGTCAAGCCTTTCTATGTGGGAGGAAAGGTACAAGCCATACAGGCGCCATCACATTTCGATTACGTTGCTCTCCGATGTAAGTTGTACCAGTTTTTCTGGGGTGAATGCATCGCTAATAAGGCATCGACAGACACCCCTACTGAGCTCCGTGCCCACTTTAAAAAACTTGCATGGCGCAGAGTCGTCGCTTTCCAGACCCGGAATCCAATGCATCGTGCTCACCGTGAGCTCACCATTCGTGCTGCTCGCCAACGTCAGGCGAACGTCCTGATCCACCCCGTCGTCGGTCTTACCAAGCCAGGAGATGTCGATCACTATACCCGTGTCCGCGTGTACGAAGCCATCATGGCCAAGTACCCAAATGGCATGGGTCACCTTGCGCTCCTTCCTCTCGCCATGCGCATGGCAGGTCCCCGTGAGGCGGTATGGCATGCAATCATTCGAAAGAACTTTGGTGCAACACACTTCATCGTCGGTCGTGACCATGCTGGACCAGGAAAGAACTCACAAGGCAAAGATTTCTACGGACCATATGACGCACAAGAACTTGTTGAGAAGTACAAGGATGAGCTGCAGATCGAGATGGTTCCATTCCAACAAATGACATACCTCCCCTCCACCGATGAGTATCAACCTGTGGACGAAATACCCGCTGGATCGCAGACTCTGGATATCTCAGGCACGGAGCTGCGCAGACGATTGAAATCAGGGGCACATATCCCTGACTGGTTCAGTTACGAGTACGTTCACATTTTCGGTATCCTACGCATCAATCTAACAAGCGTATCAGGGCTGTGGTGAAGAGGTTGCGAGAGAGTTACCCACCAAGAGACAAGCAGGGCTTTGTTCTGTGTCTTACTGGCCTTTACAATTCTGGAAAAGACATCATTGCCAAGGCCCTCCAAGTCGCACTCAACGAACAGGGTGGTCGCAGCGTATCCCTTCTCCTGGGCGAGACCGTGCGAGATGATGTTAATGCCAGGCTGGGCTTCACACCAGATGAGCGCCACGAAAACTTGCAAGGCATATCTTTTGTCGCAGGCGAACTCGCCCGCGCTGGGGCAGCTGTCATTGCTGCACCTATCGCCCCTGAAGAGCGGTCACGAGCGTTGGTGAAGGATACTGTTGTCCAAAATGGCGGTGCAGGAGGAAACTTCTTCCTCATTCATGTGGCGACGCCTCTTGAGCATTGCGAACGCACTGACCGCAAAGGTGTTTATGCCCAAGCGCGTCGCGGAGAGATCAGAGGTTTCGTCGGTGTTGACACCGAGTATGAGGTGCCAAAGAAAGCAGACCTGGTTGTGGACGTGACCACACAGAGTATACCTTCCATCGTGCACAGTGAGTAAAACTTGACTCTCTATCTTGACGGTGCTCACCATGCTCCTAGGCATCGTGCTGTTGCTTGAGACTACCTCGCTGCTATGAGTGTCCAGATACCTTCCATCACGAGTCCATAGACTATAGCATCACATTACAGGATTATTTAAAATTACTCTCGGGTGTACGCTAGTGCTGTAGAAGATACCTCACCTTGTAGATTATGTCTAGCATTATCTTGGGTCATTTCTTTGTCCCCCGACTGCCACTGACGTGGGAAGAGGCACAAAAAGCATTCCCATCACCTGCAGAAAAGCTGTGTTGATTCCCCGTCTTTGGGAGATCTCGCTTGACTTACATTGCAAAAGTTTCTACTGTGTTGCAATACAAATCGTAGCGACGCTTACGCACCAAGTCCCCGACTCCGATTGGTGCCAGGGTCCAGCTTGTCTCTCCGGAGTCCGTACTTGTTTGTCGAAATTTCATAGGGCCCCTAGTAGCCAGGGACCGCGTTCACGCTGTGACGCCACAACCCGCTATCCTTGTCTCCATTGGTACAAACGTCACAATGACAGACGAGTGCTGAATATCTACATTGATATTGAGTACTCAATCACTCAATCTCGAGGGGTTCGGGACATGATCGAGAGCTCGGGTGTTGCGGCATTCAAGCCTGCTAGTGTAGGTACTAGCTTCGCTGTTTCAACAAACAGAACGACGTTCAGAAGATACGAGCCACAACGTACACCACGCACGTGTCTGCCAGGTTTAGGTGAATTTTTCTTTGGTGAGGTGAATTTCTTGGTATGCGAGTGACAGAGCTGGCGGTGAGTTGTGTTTCTACTTTCAGCATCAGTGCAATATCTTTGATGGCACGACACGTGAGTTACTAGTAGTTTGTTGCTGAGTTGATCAACGTGTTCGTTTCCAAACAAATTTCAATGGAGATCTTGGAATAAGTAGAGGAAATCTCAAACACTTTGATACATACTGAAGTACCTACGACGCAGTTTTGTAGGCTTGTTGTAGGCTTGTAAATTACCGAATGTCCAATGCTCACTGGGGCTGAGAAACAGATTGAGGCTCGTTCACATTGCAGTGTACCAGGAAAGAGTCAGAAAGACTTACGACAGTCTTTATGTTGGTTTCGCCCGCCAGGATTTGTTGAATGGTGTGTATAACATCTGTCCTCATTCTCGTCTTCGCTCTCATTGGCCTAGGGCGTGCCTGGAATGACAGAGATGACAATATGGAGAATGAATATCACAAGTCCTGCCTACAGCAATGCACTAATGTTTCTCACGACTAAAATTCAAAATTCCAAAAGCAACCTGATACGTCTGGGCAACGGTACAGGAGGGGAACCCCGAAGTACATCAGCGACCTCAGCGCCGTAGGTGGCAACAAAGTGTGCACATAAAAGAGAGAATAGAAGCCGCCCGCAAGCAGGGGGAAGCTCAACATTTGACATCCTGTCGGTTACAGATCGAAGGGACAATGAAGCCAAATCCACGCGCGTGCTCTGGAAATCGGCCAAAATCGCATGAACAATTTAACATGAACCGCCTTCGCCCGGCGTTTGACATTGGGTCCTGGGATAGTCAAGGCACAACTAGACAGTACGAGAGCCGTCAGGGTTGTGGGATGGTGCTGTGCGGTCTGCTCAGTATAATGGAATCACGGCGGATAACTTATCGGTCCGACAACCTCAACGCAACAGGGGTCGCCGCGTCAACAGGCTCACGAAAGGCCAGTAAACGAAGCAGGGTACAGTGACAATAACGACTAATCTCAAACTCACGAGGCGACATCGACAACGAGGCCTTATTATGAGTCACGACAATAGACACGCCATCGAACGTGATGAAATGGGTCAGACACTGATGGACAGCGAGAACACGAGATATGATGGGATGATTTCAGGGGCCAGGTGCAAAAGATTCAGACTGACGGGATTTTAAGGTGGCAAGGTAATATTGAGGGTAATATAGGTTCGATCTGAGACCACACGAGGACAACAAACCTCGTCACGACGTCGAGCACACGCGGAGACCGACGCGGAAGCTTCACAACGAACGACCTCGAATGACCAGGGAATAGCTTCTAATCGTGGGAGTCGGGGACATTGACTATCTTGGTCTAGCTAGGGGAGACTATGCACGTGCATGCTTGTCTACACCCTTTGATTGCGACACGGTACCAAGCGGGTACTAATTTTAATTTCAATGATTTGTGTTACCAGCTGTGTCTGTCAAACCAAACACTGCCATGGCGTAGGAATACCTCAAAAGACCCTCTCAAGTTACTCCGCCGAATCATTTTCTTGTCTCCTCTGGAAGGACATCTTGCTAGTCATGCGTACTTGCCTTGCCTTTGCTTCGTCCCTCTTGCTTGCTGGTCAAGGTCAGTTGTCTCACCCTCTCTTTCGCATTCATCCCATATCACCTCACAATAGTTCTTTCGTTATCGATCGCTGTCGGGGGTTCTGTCGGAACTATTGACGCAACCCAGTTCCTCAACGTCACCGACACATACCTGTTGACTGACGTAAGGCTATCATTACATCTTCATACCCCCTGTCCTAACCGTCATCTAATAGTGTCAGAACCCGTGCTCCAGCGCAACCGCTCAAATCGCCGTACGTCCCCCATCCATCCCTTCCCATCCCTTCTTCTAATCTCCCTCCGTCCTCAGAATTGCACCACCAATGATTCTTGTCTGTGCTCATCCAGCACAGTCATGGCCATCACATCATGTGAGCAATGCATGTTCAACGACTTGATCGCCAAGTTCGCGACAAGCACCGACCCCCGCGCTGGCTCATCCGCTGCTCTTACCGGTACCATCTTTCTATCACCATCTCAACGCTCTACTGACTACTTCGATCAGCGTACGCCGCTGCATGTTCATCCGTAGGCTTCACAGTCCCTTCCTCTTCCGTTGCCTTGTCCCTTCCTTCCAGTTGGGATGGCCCTTTCGGAGTTAGCCTTGGGACTCTTTCTACGGTTTCGATAGTGGGCGTTGGTGCAATCCTTGGCGCGGGCAGTCTTTTGCTGTTGTCCAATATGTGAAGGAAGCGCGACGTCAGTCTCAGCCAACAACGATTATCCCCTTATTCGTAATAATATTATACTACTTATGCATGCTTGATGCGTCCGAAATGATCAATATGAACTCGATGTAAACCTTTGAGCGCACCCTTGCAATTGAGTGTTGTAGAAGATTGAAATGAGACTTCGATGAGGAGGTCAATATATCTGGAAACTGGGCCAGGCAGGAGGAAATACCACACCAGACCTCGGGCTTACTCAGAGCGATTGAAGGAGCGATTGGGAGCTGCAATCGCGAAATCGCGTATTTACACGCGCAGATGACTTTATTACATCAATAGACACAGACTATGCTTGGCTGACTTTAGCTTTCCTCGTCACTAACAGTGGACGGGGGCCCTATTTGACCTGGCAGATCAGCCGCGATCTACGTGACATGGCCGCCCATTATATTAGTTGCATTCAACAACCCAAGCTCATGGAAGGACGCCGCAGCAAATGAGCTGATGTACCCTTCATGACAATGTAAGATGATCTTCGAATCATAGCGATCTGCGATTGCTAATCGCACTTCGCAGCGTGGGTCAAAACGCCATTCTAGAACGTTTCGTTCGATTATGAGAGATCTATGGATCACGCCATCACGATCACGTTGTGACGCTGTGTGTATGTCCACGAGAAAGACAGGCACTGGGGATGTTGAATCGTGAAGTACGTCGTACGCTCGTTGGGGCGTCATTCGCTCGAGCTTGGGCCGAGCGTCAGAGAATTTGATCAATGCTGCGCGATTCAGGGGGAGGAAGAAGAGGGTCGGTGGGAGTGCGCACGGACTTGGACAAGGCGGCCTCGTCGTATGCCGTACGGAGGCAGCCTGAGCAAAGGGGGTACCCGTGTTTTGAACTGCATCGACGCGTCCTAGAAATCTAGAAGACGCAAGGAGCGCAGCCCGCTGCACCTCATCTTCATCTAACCCGCAGATTTTTTTTTTGAATCATTGTTTATTGTCCGTTGGAGCATCGCCCTATAGTAGACAATACATGCGGAATTGACCAGCAGATGACGAGGGTATTTGAAGTGCTGGCACCAATTGTGGCGACGGCGAAGAGATACCGAGATAAAGGCAGGCATTCACGTATATGGCAAGTGACAAGTTGAAGAAAGCAAGTGTCGTCTTCCTTCGACAAGGTGGAATGCACACTAATGCGGGCACCGCTGATGGTGGAGGCATCGGTGATCATACGGAGCGCAATGCTCTGTGCAACCTCCTCTGAGTCCTCATTCACATCTGCGAGGGTGCACGGGTTGGTCGGGAAAGTAGGAGATGATCGGATGAGTTGGTGATCTAGAACGGCTGTGGACGGTTCAGATGATGGCATGAGAAAATGTTGCTGTTCACTCTTCAGGAATTCTTGATCGCCCATGGAATGGTACCACACGCGTCCGCTGGCGTCAAATGCGAAACTGTGACAAAGCGAGGAATCGAGAAGTTGATCAAAGGGCCCTACAATATATCCATGAATAGATGCCAGAAGGGGAGCATTGGCACAACACCATCATCCGCATACGCGGTCCGCGAACGCTGTCGTTCTCAAATCACTTCGTCGTGCAACTTACACAGCATTGCTGGCAGAACACGTGTACTTTCCAGCTGCAGCAGTGGAAGATCGTCCACCCACTGGTGCTCCACGACAGCTTAGTGGTCCATATTTCCCATTTATGAAATAATGCTCGGTTTCTTGAGATATGTGGTTCCCCTTGGACCAGGTGATCGTCTTTGGTTTGAAGGTTGTGTGAAAGACGTTTAACTCGCCAAAAAGTCAGAAAGCGTTTTGACCTTTGCTTTGAGAAAGAGATATATAGACATTGAATGGAGAGGGCTCAGCCTCCCCTAGGAAGACAGTAGCTCCTTCGTATCACCTGTCTTTCCAAGCTCGACGATGATTTGGTCAACTGTCGGCCCGCGAGCGTCAGCTGATAACGTGTACAGTCATTGCAATGGGCATCTGTGATCCGGTAGAGAAGTGACCTGTTGCTGAAAGTGGAGGGACATACCCTTTGTCAGATGATTCAGAGGATCTAAGTATACAACAGTATTATTTTCTTGTTGTGCCTGGTTGGCAAAGTGAAATAATGCAGTAAGATCATGCGTCCTGGGTCCAGGAACTCCCTAAGGCCTAGGCATGTCCACGAAGCAACGGCCCGTTGCCCATCATGAGGACAAGCGCTAGCTGTCGAGATTTGATCAAGATCAAGGAAGAGCTTCGGATACGGGAACTTCAGAGGAATATGTAAGCGGGTCTTCTCCATAGATCAGGTCATATAGAAGGCTTAAAACCGTCGTTCCATGGACCATCTTGATAATGGATTTGGGAATTATGAGTATGTGTTCATGAGCCATGACTTTACCTCGCAATCTGCAGGCGAAATTTACGGCGGCATGCGCGGGTTGCGATATTCTGATAGCCTGACCACCGAGCGCATTCCTCAGAAGTTAGTGTGTTTGTTTTAGAGACGAGCTCAGGAAAGTCGATGGTGAACAAACGGTGAAGGCGCCTGGGGATAAAACATGTGTTTCCGTTGCACATGTAGCCGGACGTACGGTATGTAATATGCCCACGGGCCACGGGAAGCGAGCACTTAAAAAATCGCGGAGTGACCTGCTATATAACCGTCCTTTCTTCCTCCTCAGCGATGTTGTCTGTCTTTCGGCGTGCGCCACATCATTCCTTCAACCGGTCGATCAGTGCTTCCATATCTTATCGATCATCAGTTGGGGTCACAAGTAACCTGACACTTCGAGCTGCTGCACGCGCCATGTCTATTCACCACGGAGAATCCACCGTTCGACCAGAACCGGACAAGGTCTTGAAGGACATCGCAGACTATGTTCACAACTACCAGGTCACTTCGGACCTCGCGTTCGAAACTGCGCGACTCTGCCTCATTGACACTATTGGTTGCGGACTGGAGGGTTTGAATTTCCCGGAGTGTACCAAGCTTCTTGGCCCTGTCGTAGAAGGCACCGTCGTGCCTAATGGTGCGATAAACTGACATTTATTCACGATGAAATGTTAAATTGTTGGACGCAGGCACCAAGGTTCCCGGCACAAATTACCAGCTGGATCCCATCCGTGGCGCGTTCAATATTGGCACTATCATCCGCTGGTTGGACTTCAATGACTGCTTCCTTGCTGCTGAATGTGAGTAAGACAGTAATGCCAAGTTCGCTATCGAGACACGTAGTGGATTTCTGTGTCTTTTTGTCGTGCATGTTCGTCTGCTAGAAATTATTGAACGTGAGCTCACTCCGGATATTTTAGGGGGTCATCCATCAGACAACTTGGGTGCTATTCTTGCCGTGGCGGACCACCTCGCTCGCCAGGGACAACCTCTGACCGTTCGCGACATCCTCGAGGGCATGATCAAGGCACACGAAATCCAAGGTGGTCTCGCCCTCCTCAACTCTTTCAACCGCGTTGGTCTCGACCATGTCGTACTCGTCAAAGTCGCCAGTACCGCCGTCGTCTCCAAACTCCTGTAAGTGCACCTTACTTCGGGAGTGACCGCAACTAAAATGCTATACAGGGGTCTTTCGCACTCTCAGACTATCGACGCCGTTTCGCAGGCGTGGGTCGATGGACAATCCCTCCGCACTTATCGTCATGCACCAAACACCGGCCCTCGCAAGTCTTGGGCTGCAGGTGATGCCTGTTCGCGTGCCGTCAACCTTGCCCTCCTCGTCAAGAAGGGCGAGCTTGGTCTCCCTTCGGTCCTTACAGCTAAGACTTGGGGTTTCTACGACGTCCTCTTCAAGGTAAGATTTATTCCTCAGATGTAGCAGTTCCGCCTGCTGACTAGACCTCTAGGGAAAGCCATTCGAGTTCCAGATGCCCTTCGGTTCATACATCATGGAAAACGTTCTCTTCAAGATCTCATACCCCGCCGAATTTCACGCTCAAACTGCCGTTGAGGCCGCTCATATCATCCACAAGCAGCTCAACGCACTCGGCAAGTCCTCAGACGACATCAAGAGCGTGCGCATCCGTACGCAAGAGGCTGCTATTCGCATCATCGACAAGCAAGGCCCCTTGGACAACTTCGCCGACAGAGAGTAAGTCGTCTTAAACCATTCATGACGGTGCAGACTCGCTCACGCGTCCCTTCCAAGCCATGCGATCAGCTACATGGTTGCGTACCCCCTCATCTTCGGTGAGCTCACCTCGAACTCGTACACCGATGCCTCCGCTGCCGACCCCCGTATCGACGCGCTCCGCGCCAAAATTTTCTGCGTGGAGGAAAAGGCATTCTCAGTGAACTACCATGAACCGTCGCAGCGCTCCATTGGAAATGCTCTCCTCGTCGAATTGAACGACGGCACGGTCCTCGACGAGGTTGTGGTCGAGTACCCTGTTGGACACAAGCGTCGCCGCGAGGAGGGTATCCCCCTTCTCATGGAGAAGTTCAAGAGGCACATCTCCGCGCATTTCAATGATGCCCACCAACAGAAGTGAGTCATAGCGTGCTTTATGCAATGTAGGACCGTGCTGATACCTGCCGCAAGGATCCTGGACACTGTAACTGACGCACAGTCACTGTCCAAGCTGTCGGTAGACAAGTTCACTGATTTGTTCGTTAAGCCGTGAAATGGTACTTGTACATGTACCGCGATTCGATAGAAATTCCTGAAATGAATGCGTGCGTGCAAGGATATGTCAAACGGTCCGGGTCCGTCTATCTACAGTATGCTTCCAATGATGTCTATGATAAACCGTTCCTGAGTAATCCGCAAAAAAAAAAAAAAAAAAAAAGACAACACGAAAACTTTGAGAAACATGCGGGACAAAAAGAACAAACGCAAAGCGGCAGTAAAAAGTGGCCGAGACTCTTCCATCCAAGGAAAACTATGGTCGCACGTCGCTCCTTAGTTTCCTTCCGCGTGGTTTCTTTTTGAACTGCTGGGACGAGTCCACAGCTCTCCCTCCTTTGGGTCGCGGCTGTATGCGGCTTTGGCGCTCGTACTCCTCCTGTTCCTGTACCGAGGGAAGACGGACTTTTGCGGGCGATGTCCCATGAGGGAACGAGTATGGCTGCGCCCCATACTCGTCAACTGCGTCGGGGCTAGGTACTCTGACACGACCGACAGCAGGAACCTCAAGGCGTTGTTCTTGGTGATACCTGCGAAGTGTTGCATTGTCGTCAGAATGGCCACGGGAGGAGAGACTGTGCTGGTGGCAATCGGTAAACTGGAAAGCAGATGTAGACGAGGTATCCGCAAGACCGCTGAGCTCCTCTTCCGGTACAGAAGACAGTCGGCGCTGCACTAATCGCGCAAGGGGGGCAGAGCTGGGTTGCTGGTAGGAAATACTGCGAGACCGGGACCCGGGTGACTCAGGCGAGGGAGGAGCAACGGAGACAACGGTACGACCAGTACTGACAGGATGGTGAGCTGCTGCCGCCAGATGAGGTTCAGCGGTACCAGCATAACGAGGCTGCTGAGCCAATGCTGAAGAAGATAATGCCTGTAAATCGCGCAAATAGTTGGCTAGACCGCCAGAAACATCCGAAGGATGATGATTAACTGTAGAAGGGATGCCCTTGTCATGAGGCGAGAGCATAGACCCGCCGCCGCCGCTTCCACTGAAGAAATGAGTCTCGAGATTGTTGTCCTGACGATCGTACAAGAACCTGCGGGCTTGATGGGATGCATCCACGAAGGGGCGTTGTGCTTGCTGGACGTGATGAGGGAGACCTAGGGTGTTTTGGAAGTCCATCTCAGGAGACACAGAATGATACTGGTAGGGCGAAAAGTTTGAAGACCACTGAGGAGAGGAAGAACTTGGCGGGGTGGGTAGAGCACCCTGCTGCTTGAGACGGAACTCCTGACGTTGACGATACTGTTGTGCAATCTCCATGGCGGACTGACGCTGTGCTGCATTGACCACCTCGTTGAGACGCGGTTCCACGAAGATTTTCGGGTAAGTGGGGGTGGCGCGAGGATAGTTCGAAACCGGAAACACTGGCTTAAGACCTTCAGGGTAAGCTTGATTGAGTGCAGTGTTCTGAAGCGACTGTTGCGCAAATGCGAGCTGCAAATCCAAGAGAAGTTTCTGATCGTTAAGCGACGAGCCATAGCCTCTTTCGTGGGTTTCTGATTCACGAACAGTTGGGATACCAGTTTCTGACCACCAAGAACCTGAGAAAGGAAGACCGCGGATTGCTTGTTCAGCTCTTGGTTCCGGTGGATGAGGTGCCTGCGAGTGTCCATGAATTCGACGTTCGTGGTCATGGTGACGAATGGATGCTCCGCCGCCGCCAGCGTCTCCTTTGAATGACTTCTTGCCATTCGCTGCTGCTCGTACCTGAGCAGGAGGTTTCTGAATCCCATGCTTCTTTTGCATTCGCGGTGGAACCTGCGGATGAGGGGAGGCTTTATGGTGTGTTTCATCATCCGTATACTCGCTATCACCGCGATATTGATGAGAGTCGTTTCTGCCTAAACCCCATATCATTCGAGATACGTTACCCGGCTCCTCAATAATTGTTCCTTCAGCTCCCCTAAAAATGGTAAGTTATTTTGCATTCATCACAGATTTCACTTACGATGGACAACGAGCATATGGCAGCGAAAGCGGGCCATGAAGTGCCGGGATAGGGCGAGGAGGAGAACTCGCCCATGTTGTCCAACCTACATAGAAAAATATGAACCTCAGCGTCGCAATTGTTAGTCAACACAAACCGTTTGAGGACACAGCTGTCTTTTGAGAATATTTTCTTCTAAGGAATCCATCAGGAAGCTGCGCGTGACTGTCGATGATGAGGATCGACTCGGGAGACGATGGCGGAGAAGGCGTGCGTGGTACGTCCGAGGGTGGGGGACAGACTCTGACTCGATGGCGTTTCTCAAGGTACAACGATTCAAAGGATGCTCCAGCGGAAGGAGACTCGATGGAATCCAGAGACAGGTCAACAGCAGCCGCGAGATACTCAGGCATGGAGACCACCCGCATGCCATTCTGAGTGTCCAATTTGATATGCTTGTTATCCGGCATAGAAATAACGCGTCTTTCGACGGTCTTTCCTTCTGGGCGACGCTCAACGAGGAATAACTTGCGCCTAGGAACGCGGCGAGATACCAAGGTTGCGCACATGGGGCTAACGGGGCTATTTTGAAGATTGGACCGACTATATGCGCTGTTATCATCGACGGAGGAGGGAGAATGAGGCAGTTCAGGGTCGACTGGTTGTAATTCGATTGTGATTTCATGTAAAAGCTGTCCAGGATCATCGAGGGGAGCTTGGGGAACACGAACCGTTGCCAAGTCTGCTGCTGATTGTAGAGGACATGCGGTCTGCACTCCTTGATCGATGTATTCCTTCAGATATACCATGATTCGGAATCGCGAATAAGCTCAGCGCGTTTGTCTAGGGGCGACCGAGGTTGTTCAGGGTAGCAAGCAAAGTAGAACCAGGATGAGATGTTCGAATTTATATGTTATTTATCTAATCTTTTGAACTTCATTTACGTAAACTAATTAAAATTAATTGCTGTCCCCTACTGCACCGTCAATGGTCAGTATCGACATGAGCCGCGGTTTTGACTCTCAGTTCGGGCCACCATCGCAACCCATCAATATTGCAGCGTTCATACAGGAAGCAAACTCCGCACTTTTGTCAGGAACTCTTACCAATGCTTCATGGGAGCAACTAACTCCCGAGCATAGAAATGCTGTCCAAGCAGAGGTCACTGGAAGGTACTCATCTCCCTCCCGTACCATAGTAGCGCTCATTCCATATCAGCGTAGCATTTCAGAGCTCAAGGCATCTCTTGAGCAAGTATGGGACAACCCTGTCTTGTCAGCGCACGTGCTGCGCCAGCATAAGTCTACAGTAGCATCTGTGCATAGTCAAGCAGATGCACCGGCGCCCAAAGGAAGAAAGCGCAAGCGCCTTGTCGCTCCAGAAGGTAGTGAATCTGCCCCTGGAGTACTGCAGCTGCAAGAGAAGCTTGATTCTGTCAACCTCAGATGTTGGGGGTATGTATCTACGCTTGTATATCACCCTTCTCTCACCTTTGTGCAGATTAACCTTGGAGTCAGCGCTATGTATGCGTGCTGCTAAGAATCCCGACTATAACGCACTTGATACGCCCAAGAAGACAGGAACAGGCGTTCTCCGTACCCTTAGCCATGGAGAAGTTGGTGCAACGCACAGTTCAACCCCAGACTCTCTCAGGAGCCTCAGCCCCGACACAACTTCATATCCAGACGCGGTTATTTCGCTAACTGTATACAACCGCATCACTTATCTTCCAAGCTGCCTGACACGCTCGTCGCAACACGCTGTACTGTCAACACAGACGTTGGGTGATCTGCTGCGCGTCATACCATGTGCCTCCAGTCATATGCCAGTAGAAGAGCTAGATGCAACGGTGACCTATCTGGCTACAACCTCATCGAACAGACAGGAGAGCATTCTGGGTGTCTGTTCTACATCGAGGGCCTCGTTTACGGAGACGGGAGAGAAAACACCGATTACGCAGAGTAGGTCTGAACCGCGCCGCCGTTGACAGATTCCTAACTCCCCCTTCTACAGAAAGTTAATAGCCCACTTTCAAAAACTCCCCGAAGAAAAACAGCCGCAAATAAAAAATGCATCGACCTCTGCCAGCGAAACCGCCTTCAATGCGCTCACGCTAAGAGTACATCAACCTTACTGGATGCTGCATCAAGGCAACTGCGAACACTTCTTCGTCATCGATCAGATCAGGCATGCATGTTTCGTTTTAATTTGCGTAAAATCCCTAAATATCATAATGCAGGCTTGCCCACGCTTCGGATCCGCCATCAGGCTATCCGTTAACACTTCACCTGACGCCGACGCTTCAGGATCTCTGTCGTGCATGTGGCAAAGTCCCAGCCGTACATTCGATCGTGGGCGACATGCGCCTCGGTGAAAGTCCGTGCCTCTTGTGCGCGCCTTGTTGGCGCACGATGGGTCCTCCCAATAATGATGAAGGGGTGATGGTTGTCCCGCTTGTACATCAGTAGGATGGTCGAGAACGGATGCACACTGCCAAGCATGTACTAGGTCTCAGTAGACCCTGAATGCACACTTATGCCCGAGGCCGATGACATTCTGTTTGACTCGATACAGTTCGGCCACTTTCCGGCTGTCTCTATTACGTTGCCAGGTGATTATGATATACAGTGAAGTGAGTGCAAATAAGTAGTGCAAATACCAAGCAAATACACATGCTATGCCTACGGAAGATCACAGCTCTTAAACCAAACTGAGCGACGTGCATAAGTATGGTAGATCAGTGCGAGAAGTCTGTGTGTGTGTGAACCACCCAAAGCCCAAGTGAACCGTCCGAGAGAATGAGATGGCGAACCTCAACCGTCAAAAAACAGGGTGCAATCTGCTATCGAGGTCTCCAAGACTATTTCACCCTGTTGTTCGGTGAGGAAGGACCCTGAGCGCGGTCCCCAGCCTATCCAACCATACGCCCGTGTGCTAGACACATATTCCAGTGCGTAGTTGCGCACCAAAGCTACAGCCCACGGATCAGAAGAAGAGGTGGCGCCCTGCGTCACTGCCACGGTTCCTAGTTTTGTATTGACTTGGAAAACGCCCTGATATTTCTCGTCGAATGTGACAGTAGCTGGACCAAGGTCGTTCTCTAGGCGCAATTTTATGGCTGTCGGTGGCGATGTCGGGTCGTGTACGAAACTTGCTGTGGCTTGACCAGAAAAGGTGCGCAAATTTGCGATGAAGTTCGGACGCACGGGGGGGTTTTGGTTGGGTGAGTTCAACGTAACGTTTGCCGTCAGGTTGCTAAGACACAGTATTGGTCGAGAAACAAGACTTTGAATCTGCAGGCCACGAACCTATTGCCAGGTATTGACTTCAAGATACGTTGGGAAATTCGAGTCTGGATCATTGAAGAGCGTGATGTTAGCATTGATGGGCCTACAAAAATATATTAATATCGCATGCTAACAAGAATAAGGTAAATGCATACGCTTGTATCGTGCTGACAGTGAGGGTATCTGACGCCGAAAACTGGCCGAAAATCGACTCCAAGGATGTTTCAACCAGTATTTTGCGGGCTTCCAGCAACTTCAAGACAGATAAGATTAATGAATGTGGAATAAGCACGGCCACTTACACCGACAAATATTTTGGAAACAGGGCCCTCTATAGAAACCTTCTCGAAATCGACATATTCACCAAAATTGTCAAATGTCTGTGTGAACAAAGGAAGGTAGGTAGCGAAAGATTCGACTTTGGCAGGTATAGGTGACTGGGGGTACAAAAGGGTGACGTTGAAGAGCAATTGATCCTCGAAGGTCAAGTTGTCGGGGGTCTGTTTGATGTCAGCCTTAGATAACATTCACTGCGAAAAGACAATAGTACACACGTAGATGGAAAGACCAGTGATGTCGGTTGCCAAAGCAAAGCAAACGAGAGTCTGGTCGAAGAGGTCAATACTGGAAGCTTGCATGTTGATGGATATGATTGTATTTATTTCGGAGCTGTTGGGATTTATGCCGACGAACAAATCACCCAGGACGACGTTCATGCTACTCGTGTAGGATGTATTGGACGTAATGCTGAACTGGCCATTGGATGATATAGTATATTGAACGCTAAGGAAAGAAAGTCACGATTGTTCGCCAAGGGATTAGTTGTGGACGTACTCTCCAACCACAGAACCTTGCGCGTCGTCGAGTTGACTGGTGTCTGTCCAGTTGTTGCAAACGATTCCATTTTCAACAAGGGAACTGGAGATGTTGTTGATATTCGTGACGTAGTGTGATGAAGTGCTCTTGTCCAGGCGATCAGCATAGTTAGATGCGTAGTAGGGGAATGGTTGCGGATCATCGTTCCGGGATTTCTATGAAGTACTTTGAGAAGATATTGATAGATAAGATAGTCATACTAACCTTGACAATAATCGGGATACCAATGACGATTGAAAGGATAATATAGATGCCCAAAGCGGTTATGCCAGCTCTCCAGGACCTGGAGTCAATAAAGCGCCGTTTTGGAGGAGGTTTGTAAAATGTTATCAAGGAGTCGTTCAAGTCGTTCAAGGCCAAGGCCTGCGACGTTTCATAGTCGGGCAAAGGACTAAATAGACGACGGCCTGCCGCTCGTTCTGGATAACGAAGGGCGGGTGTTGCAACGGGAGGATCCTTTGACTTGAGGTCGTCTTCGTCCGGTATTATCATGCCTTCGAATTTACATATGGCATAGACGAAGACGAAGACGAGGAGCAAGGGACGGGGATGTGAACGACTTTGGTGGGATTTAGTTAGTTACCTTCTACACTAGCGAATTCGTGGGAGTAGCGACGACGTCGCCACCAAGTTCACCCTCTTCAACTGATTATGTAATAGCACTGCCAGCGCGAAATTGATCAGTGCCTTTGAGTAGTGCCTCCATGTACTTACCAAGGAACCTCTAAATGCCGCTAAAGATAACAATATTAATGACCCCCAAAGATAATTGCCCTGCGACAGACTATGCATGCGATACTAATACGAGGACACTCTCGGGCGGGCCGGCGGCGTTAGTGTTGCCACGCGAGCCGTTGGACCACCACGGTCCACCAAGCAAAATATATTAATATTCATGCATGCAGTGTGTATGTACTCGTTGTTAGTTGTTTGGTGCTCCTGACCTCCGGAGCTAAAATTAGCCGAGCCGCGTTGATCGATGCTAGGTGGAACGCTTAGCATCTCCGAAGCTTAGCGCTCAGCGCTCAGCCTTCCCTCTGAATGCCGCAAGATTACTTTGACAGTGCATATGTCAAGATAACATTTGGATGACCCCCAAAACATAATTGCCCAGCAACAGATTATGCAGAGTAAGCGATACTAATAATACGAGGACGGGGACTGTCAACAGCTGTCAACTCTTCTCGGACAGGCCATATTGATCGATGCAGAGTGGAACACTTACCCCTCCGAAGCTCAAGCGCTCAAGCTTCAAGGCTCCAATCACAGGGGATGGTTGAACGTTGACTCATCAAAAAGATCAGACTAGACTAGTACTTACTGGTACTTCTGATGTACATCATCCACGTCACACCGGCATATAAAATGAAAACCAAAGCTCAAATCGTATTGCACGATATACGGAACGCAACGGCGGAGTATCAGATTATCTACATCAATCCATCGCAAATCCACCAATCGTAAAAAATATTTCAAACGTAGAGATCTGTTGAAGATCTGTATGACGTAAAGAAGAAAATCCAGACAAAGCGATTCGGTTGTTGAAACCCGGCGTACTGCCTTATGATAGCAAAGAAAAAATAGTATGCGTTCACCAGATACGAGTCTCCAAGAGCAGGTCGCTGTTGCCTTCCAGACCAATGCAGGCCTTCAGGAAGCTCTCCAACGCATTACGCTGCCTGCCAAGGCTGTTAACAACGTCGGTACCTGAGAGCGTCTATGAGCGCGATGAAGGATTATGAGTTAAACGGCACCCACCAGGCTTGACGAGAGGCGCCTTGCACATGTATGACAGGAGCGACAAGACTGGGTGAAGGGGCGCAAAATCAGTCTGGCCCTCGCCGCGGTACTTGACGCGAGTAAGCAGCTCAGTAAGGATAGCCAAATCGAGAATCAATGGCGTCGCAAGTAAAGAGTCCTATAAAAACATTGAGCATCTGAGGAATAACACACTAAAAACGCGTGGCATACCTCGCACTCATTGAAGATATTGATGGTTTGTCTCCCACCACAGAAGATCTCAGAGTAGTATTCATCGATTGCCCTCTTGGAGTCACCGACTGCAGGCACGTACTTGATCACAACAATGTGATCAGGGTGCTCCCCTTTCGCCGCTTTGCCCTTTGCGCCCACAGCAGGAGGCTTGTAGAGCAAGCGGTTGGCATCCACCATATCATCCACAACGCTGCTCTTGCTGATTTCCTTACTCTTGAACTGGGGCTCCGCACTCAAGTTGTGCCCGTCGTTGTTACCAAGATGGTTGTACGATGCGATAGAGAGCGGTTTGATACCAGCGTTCACAAGGAACTCCGCGAGCACGGATTTCAGCTTCGTTTGACCAGACTTCAGGTCGTCACCGCCGATGAAAGACTTCTCACGCTCAGCCAAGGCAATGACACCAGGCACGAACGTGTTCTGAGGAGCACCGTTAACGAATGGCTCGCCCTCGAGAATGGCAGCAACAGCGAAGAGCGTCGAGGGAGACACCTCCGAGTGCGAGTTCTTGATCGAAGCGAGGACGTTGTCAACCGTGTCGTTGACGCCAGGAATAATGTCGCTGTAACGTTCCGTGTTGGCAGTCCAGAATACGATGACACGGTCAAGCTGGTTATCGGCCTTGAAGCGGCGAATGTCAGCCCGAATGTGCTCGAGATGAGCCTGCTTGTCATTGCCAGGGACGACATTGTCCGCACGCGCCTCCTGGTTGGCAGCAATGAAGTCGGGATAGTAGATGGAAGGAAGAGGACGGCCGAGCAGAGCCATATACGGCTTGACCTGGCGCTGAAGATCATAGTCGAGCACCTTGGCACGTTCCATCGCCTTGTCCATAGGCAGGCCGGAGATATCCCAGCCACCAAGAACAAGGTCATTGGGATGTACCATGGGAAGCACATCAGAAATTGGGACGTGGACTTCCTTACCGGTGCTCGGCTCAGTGCCAATGCGAACGGTGGACGCACGGAGGAGAGAGCCAATGTAGTTAGGCTGCTGGATTCCCTCCTTGGTGTGCCAGGACATCTGGTGCCTGTTTGCAAGGATGGTAGCGCAGAGAGTGGAGCCATTGTTGCCACCCAAACCAATCATCATAAGTCTATCGCGCGTCCACGTCAGATAGGTAATACATTTCAAACTGATAAACAACATACCCAGTCTTGCCAACCTTGCGGGTCGTCTGGAACTCATAGGGCTTGACAGTAGGCACAACAGTGAACTGGCCGTCTGAGACCACGACATCAGCACCGCGGTTGAGGTACTTGGCGGTGATATGGTTGTCAGTGTAGACGGTGTTTTCGGACTGGACGGTGATGTAGTTAGGGCGACGAACGGCGGTCGGGTGAACTGGGACGATTGACTCCAATTCAGAGTCGGGAGTGTTATAACCCGAAGAGTTTGTGGCGAGAGATTGGGGAGACATTGCGGTAAGTATATACGAGTAAAAATTTGACCAAGTAAACGATGAAGATGAGTTCAATGAGCAGCTAGAAAGCCTGCGCAGGAGTGCTTGGAGCCTCTGTGGGGGTTGTGGGGACTACCGAGTTGGTTCGAGTACATGCAAAGAGCTCGGAAGACTCTGAGTATGAAGGTGACGGACACCAGAAGATAGTGACGAAGACGAGTAACTGCAAAAGGCTGGAGCTAAAAAGGCTGGAGAAAAGTTGATAGGATGCTTGGGGTTTATATAGGCAAAAATGGGGTCAGAAGCGAACCTCGGAGATGGTCGTTAAAGAGAAAAAAAGGGCCGGGCAAACCTGGCAGTCACGACTCATTAATACTAGTCCCGAATGACAGCAACATCTTAAGCGTTATCATTCGCCTTTGGAATGGACTCTCGGAGAATATTAGATCTTGTACGTTTTATCTTGGTTTCATCAATCCGAAAGAAACCCAGAAACATGTGTTTTGGAGTCGAAGTTGTTCTAGCACGACACCTGTATTATGGTTTTAGTAATTCAGTATTCGCCACTGATCACCGCCTACTAACATTCAACCATTATTACACGGCAGTCGTAAACCCTCGGAGCGGCATGAACGTGACGAAGGGACTGGGGGAACTAAGTATGTAAGTACAAGTACATCCGAAGGCAATTCGGATTATATTTGTTACACGCCAAGGATGATATTATGAGACAGACTAATATCGTCATCGTACTCCTTCACGATTCAATGGTTGTAACGAACGTTTAATCAAAACGTTCGAAGTTCAGGCTGTTACAGAGCGGCTCGAGCCTCGCAAAAGCCATCCATTCATTTAGTACCAGATTGGCAATCTCGACTACTTCGCGCGAGAGGTGTCAGTACTCTGAAGATTGCAACATGAGCGACGAGAAGCCTCTTTTCCCTATGCAGGGTTACCAATGTTCTTGGCGAGTTCCATATTGGCGCGTGAAACCGCTGTCGCAGGGGCAGCGGTCCTCGTCACCCCGCAGCGGTCATTATACTCTGTCAGGGGTGCAGGATACGAGTCCCATGGAATGCGACCCGTGAAGGTAACTCCATCTTGACATGCGCCGCAGTTCTCTTGGTTTACCGAGAAGACGATAAGGAGGTGTAGATAATTATGGTATGCGACAGCCACGGCATAACCGCACCTTTTGACGTACGCGCTCAGGAAATTCAAAGCATCCCGCTTGACGCTCACACCTTTCGGTGCTTTGCTAAATCAAATATCCTATCCAACGAAGGGATATTCTATGGTCAGTTAGGGGGGTTAGACTAAGGCAAAACAATGACCAGGAAGTCCTTGAACGGCGCGCTTGAATGGTCTGGATTTGTGGAGGCGGAGTGGCTGAGAAAAGTTGACGAGCATCAGTCTGATTATTGTGAACCTGCACCCGGGAACGGCGACAAGTCTGCGTTCGACTCAATGCCTTCCTTGATGGAGAAACCTCGCTAAGAAAGTAAGATTCCGGTTCACAGGGTGTCGATAAAGCCCCTCCTTTGGCCGTGCGTAACCTGAGATGGATGCCGCATAATAAGTAGGGTCTTCGATAGAACCACTCACTGCTGAGTATAAGCCTATCCATAGGCTGTATGCGACTCCCATGGTCTTCTCAGCATGGCAGGTCGATATTGAAAATTTTCTAGGCGACAAGCACAATTCCGCGCTGGTAAATATCGAAGGGAAAGTTGCCTGGCATCTCGTAGGAACTATGAAGTTGTTAGTAAATGACATCTCCATTTAAATGGCCAAGGGATAGGTGAAGTTGCTTATGGTAAAGATATTATATCTTGTTTCATTGGTTTTAGGTGATACTGTATTGGAATAAACAAAAAGTCCACATAGATCATAGCTCTGTCCGCAATGGAAACATGGCATCGTGTAACTGCTGCCATACCTGCGAGAAGATACCAAAGTAAGACAACGTGTGTCTCTTGCACCTCTGAATTAATTGTCTGAGGTACCTCTGTATAGTCTCCAGGGACACTGTGTGAAGAGAGGGAGAAGGAGAGGGTGGATGACGGTGAGGCAAGTCTGTGGGCGTTGATGCCTGCGTGGGTAACGTTGATTCACGGGGAGGTGACTTCCGTGGCTGAGACAGCTTGTGAGCGTCGTAATACTGATACAACGGAGAACGTACATTGCCAACAACAGCCTTTTCGGCCTCATCGATAAGGTGGTTGGCATCGGATTCGCCAGTCTTCTTCCACATATCTCGGAAGATTTCGACGGCCTGCAAGCTCTCGCTGAAGCGATGCAGCGTATTAATAAGGGCTACGACTTCTGACCGCTGTAGAAGATTCTGATTTTTGTGCGGGCTGAACGAAAGAAGGTTAGCTCATGCAAGGGATAGGCACTGACTACTTACTCAAGGGCGGTCTCATCCATCTCAAAGAGAATTTTGAGAGCGGTTGCGAGTCCGGTAGTTTGGACTTTGCCCCATAAACGGCACTTGTCACATCCAACGCAGTCCATGATCCTTGAAACATTCCGGAAATGCCTTTTGAACTCTTCTTTTAAGACCTAGAAAGACAGATGAACTTTCAGAACATGAATATTATTTCAAGATGTCGCTTACATTCGCGTTTTCGCCTCTGAACAACACCCGCTCATCAAACTTGCCAACGTGCTCTGCAATGTCAATAACCTTGCTGAGAGACGCGAGTGTCCTGGCTTCCTCTTGGACGTCCTCCGCGAGCACCTCTGCGTGAGGCGTGGGCTTGGACATTGAACAATAGTCGTAGTCACGTAGGTATGGGCCGATGCGTGATACAGCACGTAGGAGGAGCACATTGTTAAAATAAATATATTGGAGCCTCTCAGGGTGGGAGGCGACGCGCGTGACGAAGCACTCAAGGTTCGGGCCCTGTCAGAGAAGATTAGCCATGAGTAGTGATATCGAACCGGACTGCATACCATCTCTCCAGTTGTCTGATTAAGGTATTCCATGCAGATATGAGTCGAGATAGATGCGTGCAAGCCTGATATAATTTTGTAATACACTCTCTTCTCGAGACACTCGCCATCTAAGTCCTCTCCGTCAATAGGCTCTCGCAAGACATCGGTAAGGGTGTCACGAAGTGTGACTTGTGCGGGAGAACGAGCAGTCAGCAGATTCAGTTCTGAGAGGCCGAAGCAATTTTCCTCGTATATTGACTTCCAGACCCGATGCGCTGAAGGACCTGAGTAGCCCGTGTAACGCTCTGGGACCAGAGATAGGTCGACGTATTCGCCCTCTACGGGAAGAACATCGTCATACATGGGAGCCGTAATGCGATATAATGCGCACCTGTCATATCATCGAGGAAGCAAAAATCAGAATCACGATAGTAACATCCGGGAAGAGGGACACGCTGTACAAGTTATGAACACGTCAGCCAGAAAGAAAAAACATGGAACCTACCTCTTCTAAGGGCGGCAATTCTATCTTGCTCAGAGCCGCCGCTCTCCACTTTTCTGGTATCTCACTCTAGAATAGAACCTCAGTTTGGCTGACTTGAACGAAATGGACAAGTGGATACCTCATCTACAGTAGTGATGCCGCATTCCCTATTCATACAGAACCCATTCTCTTGCCAGAAAGGACATTCGCGATAGAGGTCCACCTGATAGATGATTCAGTTATGGTCGAAGCTACCTGAGCCTGGGACGTACCTGGAAAATACTTAAAGAATGGCATCTGCACTAACTCACCGAGCGCGTTATATAATTCCCCATTCACACTCTCTATAGTCTCGTAATCACATAGGGTAGTTTCTATCGGACCAGTTGTCTGGTGAGCGGGAACACGTAGATAAATGATAGGTCGACTCGTAGACACAAACACTACATACCGAATGCTGACAGAGTGGGTCTCCTCGAACAGATTCGTGTTCAAGGACATTCTGAACTGGATTGTGCCTTATAAGACTGTCTCCGAGAAACGAACTCGGGCTGACGCCTACAGCGGCCAATGTGGAGAATGCGAGAACCAGGTATGTTTTACGCCAAAGACAGAGCATGTATGGTGGCAGGTGGTATACCAGGAAGGAGTAAAGAACGTGGCCAGCTGTGCGCGCACGTCAAAGCTTGTGTCGCTTTCGTGGCGTGTTTCAGCGGTGATGAGACTACTTAGACCTCGAGCTCTGAGACTGATAGTACTATTCGATATAAGTAACTGCGTAATTTGTAATACCAAGTATAGTTCCACGTTGCAGAATGTGACGTGTTCACCGCTTTTGAACCCGATGATCTACACGGCCTGCTGTTGGCCTGCTGCCAGCTTCCTTTCGCTTGTACCCATCCGACTGTCCATCAGATCTCAGATTTTGAGCTGAGTTGTATCACTCTCTCATTCCATATAGTCAGAGCGAAAAAAAAAAGATACTTCCACAACTATGTGTTTCTGAAGAGGTGGATGAACACCATGTTACAGGATCTGCGACACATCACGGACTCCAATTTCGGCGAATTGCTCCAACTCGAGGGGCCATGAATATGACACCCTGTATTGAAGCCCATCGGCAGTTGACCCACGTAGGGCAACTGACACCTTTTGCTTTATACTTGCATGCGAGGGCAGTCATACCGTATCAGGCCTTTGCTTAGCCAATGTTTACCCGCACGCTACTTTCTATCAAGCCTGAAGATGATGTTCTGAGCTGAGCCGTGGCTTCGGCACATTTGTAGAAGTCCGGCCCCCAAGTACGACCATTTTGTATATCAGTAATTCTCGATTCTACCACGTTTTTCAAGTACAGCAGGGGCAGACTCAAGAGCATGCCAGTCCTCTCCAAAGGAAGCGAGAAAGGCATCCCACAAAACCATGTGGTACACGTAGACATTTTCGATGAATCGATTCAATGCGGGAACGAGCAGAGAATCTATGGTGGTTATGCCACCAAAGGCGACCACGAAGTCCAACACATCCCTTGGTTACAGGCCCTTGAGAATGCAAGTAAAACATCTGGACATCAATAAACACTCACTTCTCAACTAAGTCCCGCAAGGTGTCAAAGCTGTGGTGCCAGCGCACTGTAGGGCCACGAGCAAGTATTGCGATTCCCCGAACAAGAGTGGAGCCTTTGAGGATGTGGTCTCGTATTTACTTTGTTGCAGTAAAGAATCTCTCACCGAGGTAGCTCTTGAATATCTGGGCATTTCACAATTTTATCGGCATTGCCCCCATCGTGATGTCAGCTTGGACAAGGATTATATAACAAATGATTGTAGAACAAGGTCAGTTCCATGCATCGTGGCCTGAGGCGGGTTTAGTAGCGAGCCAGCGGGCTGTGACGAGTACGCATCGAGTACGTACGTCCAATTTATGTTCACTCCGAGTCCGTGCGACGAACAACTAGCAGTGGGATTGTCGACCGGAGAACACGATATGAACAGGAATAAGATGTGATCTCCAAACTAACTATATAAGACATGAGATGATAAAGGGAATGGCACTTGCAAGGCGTATCATGGCGTTATCTACACGAGTGTCACAAGTCAGGTGTGATTGACGTGCCGTGATGATGATTCGCCTTGTCCGATTGAATTTGAATGTATGTTGCATACTTTGGCTCCCTTAGGCAAAGACAGTCGTTCCTTCTATAAGGGTCTGCACTTCGGGGTTCAATGTCAACTATTAGACGCACGGCTCTCATAAACAGAGTCATACCCCATTCCAGCCACCGCCATCAACTTGCTGGTATGTTATTGTCCCAAGTATGCGGAATCGGAATCCTCTCTATTGCTCTGTGGAAAATGTTTGGAGGGCTATTGAGAAAACTCGAATTGACCTTGATGGTACTGGCTGACATGTTCTTGCCTGAAGCTTGTGCTTACACTCGTTATATCTGACGTGGACGTGCCAGGCAACATGCGGAAGATGTTCGAAGGTGGCGTTGACTGTGTCCGTGCCTTTTTCGTACTCGATGAGTGGAGAATGTACTGGAATGTACCAAGGAAGTCAACTTTTGTCTGACGGCAGAGGCCTTTTGAGTAGGGTAGACGTCTGTGGTGCGGCGTGAAGAGGAAGGGAGATGGCAGGAATCTGCGAGTAAAGCGTATATTTATGGTATGAGGTATTAAAAACTGAAGGGAATTCGTCCGACGGTTGATGCGAGCATCATGAGGCTACTGGCCCGTGAGTGGTGTGGTGTTAACCCATGATGCATGCCAGTACTAGTGAGACGCGACGCGCACCATGACACGCTGCCTGACTCGACAATATTTTTCTCCGCTCTGATGGATGATGTCAATGTTCTTTGACCTAAGCAACAGGTCGTACTACGGTATTGAGGTGCTATGAGTCAGCGTGAGACACTACTTCCATAACCAAATTGTAAGATATTGACTTACGTACACAAGCACTTTCAGTTCTCCCAACTCACCGTCAAAAGGTCACAACAAAATGGCTTCGTCTTCAGGTACGCCACTTCTTCGAGAATGAGTTCAACTCGAATTGACTTTTTGCAGCTGTTGGAAAACTTTCCCGTGAGGAGTTTCGACGCCAAAAGGACCTCGATGCTGCCAGAAAAGCTGGAACTGCTCCTGCAGCTCTAGACGAGGAAGGACGTCCTATCAACCCTCACATTCCTCGTGAGTTTGTGTTGTTTGGAGCTATATCTTCTTTGATCTTATCTTCCATTACAGAATACATCTCACAGGCCCCGTGGTATCTGGACACCGGTGCACCGTCACTAAGCCATCAACGTCGGCCATTCGACGATCGCTCCGCAGACAAACTTGACAATTGGTATGACCGTGGTGCGAAGGCAGGACCTGCTGCGAAGAAGTACAGAAAAGGTGCATGCGAAAATTGCGGTGCAATGACACACAAAAAGCAGGATTGTCTTGAGCGCCCTCGGAAGAAGGGGGCGAAATTCACGAACAAGGATATTCAGGCGGACGAAATCATACATGACGTAGCGACAGGATTTGATGCGAAGAGGGACAGGTGGAATGGGTATGATCCTGCAGAGCACAAGAAAATCTATGAAGAGTACGAGGCTGTTGAAGCGGCACGGCAGAAGCTGAGGGAGGAAGAGATTGACAACCAAACGACGACAGATTTGGCTGCGGTGCGGAAGGTGGCGAAAGCTGGCAAGAAGGAGGGAAAGGAAGCTGATCCTGACTTTGGTTCAAGCGATGAAGAAGACGCAGACGACGACAAATATGCTGACGCTGCAGATGCTGTTGGACAAAAACTTGACACGAAGACTCGCATTACAGTTCGGAATCTGCGCATTCGAGAAGACACTGCCAAATATCTCATGAACCTGGACCCAGAAAGTGCATACTACGATCCCAAGACCCGCTCAATGCGTGACGCTCCCATTAAGAATGTGCCTCCGGAAGATGTATGTTCACGCTTCCTCATCAATTCGTCCTAATCCTAAATGACACCCACGACAGGCTAAATTTGCTGGGGATAATTTCTTCCGATTCTCTGGCGAAGCTCCTGAAGTTCAACAACTGCAGCTTTTCGCGTGGCAAGCCGAAGCTCGAGGGAATGATGTTCACCTCAATGCCAATCCCACACAAGGTCAACTTCTTCACCACGAATTCAAGGAGAAGAAGGAAATGATGAAGGACGTCAACAAAGTCAGCATTTTGGCAAAGTATGGTGGCGAGGAATACCTCGAACACGTACCAAGGGAACTAATCAATGGGCAAACGGAGGATTATGTCGAATATTCGCGGACTGGTCAAATTATTAAAGGGAAAGAGCGCGCTAAAGCACGGTCCAAGTATCCTGAGGATGGTGAGCTTCTACTTTCTCATGGATATAAGATGTGGTATTGACAGGAGTTCTAGTTTACATTAATAACCATACACATGTATGGGGCTCGTGGTATGACGTCTCAAGCGGTACCTGGGGCTATGCATGTTGTCATTCGATCATCCATATTTCATATTGCGCTGGTGAAGTGGGCAAGGAAGCCGCACACGCCTCGACGGCCCAAGCCTTGCTTGCATCGTCAAAGGCTCAATCGGAACCCTCTGCCCAGGACAATGAGGCGAGAGCCCGAATAGACCAGAATTACTCGAAGAAGCGCGTAGGCGAAGGTGAAGTTTCTCTCGATAAGGATCGGTTAGCAGACGCCATTAGTGAGGAGAAGAAGAGGAAGGCCAGAGGAGAGAAGGATGATGACCGATATAGCAAGAAGATGAAAGGCCTGCAGAGTGGCAGCCACGATGTGACAGAGGAGGAGTTTGGTATGTGTTTAATTCTTACTTTCATTGGGCGCCTTCTGATGTGGCCTATCATCTTGCAGAGGCTTATCGAATGACTCGCCGGAACGCTGAAGATCCTATGGCAAACTACGTGGACGGCGATGATGTATATACGCGATGATGTATTTTACCTTACTCTCCCCTTGCTCTTGCCTGTCCGTTGTAGCATATCCTTCGCATTCCTGGACACAGGAAGGCTAACGCCTGTTTTGTATTTGTTGCCCAACGTTGTTTGGGTCTACATATTTCCTTTCAATTCACACGAAATTGAACAATACTATCACCTGATCCGGAATGCACAATCGATGGGTAATGCACAACGCACTCCAGAGCTCATATATTTCATTCCGAACAGCTGGAGAACAAGTATTAGCATATGTTCAATAAGACTACCAAATCAAATATTTAAAATCGGCGCTGTGAAGCCTTCCCGAGATGAAACATTGTGCGAGTGTACCCAAAATGAGTGATTTTTGGACACTAAATCCAAGATCCACCCACATCCCATTGACCTATCAACATAGGAACTTCAACATGTATGAAATACACTATTCTGAATCTACTCCAGGTGTTTATATGTCAATAGAACACCACCACAGCGTGCTATTCACGATTCATGAGCAAAGCGTGACGGTCAGGCTAGATTGGGAAATCACACTCTCGGCTTGGTTGAGTCTCCGCTTTGTTTGCATTCGGCAACACTGGACTTTGCGCGCTGTCGGACTTTGGATACCATTGTGTATTAGCCGAGGTGCCGCGCGTGACATAGTGTGACGAAATTGTGCATTTCCCGTCGAATGATAGTAAGCAAATACTAAAGCTGGCGGGACGGCATAATGCATATGACCGTTTGAGTCTTTCCCATGACATTCTCAACAGCGCCTGCCCTGCTATTTGGCCTGGGCATACGCGTTGCCCTTAACAAGTTCTCGAGCACTTCTGACGCCAGTATTGACGAGAGTGCCATCAGCGATGTCATTCTTCTCGGCGTCGTCCAAGGCGTCGCCCTCTATTATGCTCTGATGGAATATCCCGATTTCGCGTTCGCCATTGCATTTGGCATTGCTGCCAGGCTCGCTATCGAGTTCATGATGCTACAGGACGTCTCCAGGTGCGCGACTACCTTGCTCGGTGTCGCCCTTGGTGTCCTTGTCACCGACGTCCTATCACAACTCATCGAGGATGGGTACTTTTATGACTTCAACGGAGACTCTAGTCGTGACCACGAGAGCACGTACGCCCCAAAACGAAAACGTCTCGTCAAATTCCAGTCTAGCACAGAGTACAAAGTGATACCCCCCAGTCGACCACCGCGCTCGCGGAGAAACGAGCCTGAGCAGCGATGGCGTGCGCCACCTTCGCTGACTTCAACCAGTAGCATCGATCCCAACCACAACATGAGCCCGCTGGAACGGGAGTTGGCGGTGCTACGCGCAAAGGCGTCGCTGGCGGATAGTGAGCGGAGACGGTTCAAGGAGGAAAAAAAGTGGGCTGAGTCGCAGGGGAACATCGCGCGGGTATCTCAGATGAGTTGGCAGGTGAAGAGGTACACTGCCCTCACGCAGAGCTTTACTCGTGAAGCAGATGCTAGACTCCTTGAAGGTGGGATATCCAGACTCAACTGTTTGATCGTACGTTCAACGTAGTTGCTTTTTAGTGACTGCGATGAAGCAACGGCAACAGCTGCAGACTACTGCAGCGGTTGCTCCACAGCCCTCGAACAGGCATCAGGTCGATCGGCATACAAATCATTCTCGACAAACAGCCCAGGAGGTTGTGATTGATAGACAGTCCACTGTCACTGTGGATGTTGCAAGGAGGCATCGGAGGCAGAGCTCCGGAACCTTGAAGTCCGCAATGCGTCTTCAAGTACGATGATGACATGATGAACACGAGTAAGTAAAATATCCAGTCCTTCTCAAAACCTAGACCTGACACTGTGAAGAGAACATGTACATTACGATCCTGCAACCGTCACTGCCATCGCTCCATTTACTTGGGAGCTTTTCTAGGACTTCTTTGTATCATTAGATCTGTTCCCATTGGCATATAGTGGAGAGCCAGAAAATCGAAATCTCATCTTGGTAGTTACAGTTGATACATGTCATCTACATCTACAACATATCTGTACGGAACGAACACAGTTTTGCGTTGCCGCAGGCTTAATGTAGACGTTAGGTAGATGGATATATAGTTTTGCAGTACATACTTGGAGGTATCCAAGTCATCCAGGGTCCATCAGGGTAGTGCTTGGCCCATATGTGTCTCATTGATGCGTTTGCAATAAGCACCCCCAGGTGCTCATTCTCGATCCTCAAAATATTCAAATGGCGGCGGCACGGGGAACTCAGCATCATCCCAGCCCAAGACGTCCACGGTGGTCAACTTGGGCAGCAACATATGCATATGCAGTTGACAGGCACAGCGGTGGGATCAATGATTGGAGAAACCCCCACAAAAAGTTCGATGATCTTCTCGTGGGGAATGGTTTTAGAAAAAGGCTCGCTGTTGATGTCGATCGGACATGCACCGTGACAAAAGGACATGTAAATGCTGCGCAAGCGCCGGCAATGACATATGGGGTAGACGGGTTCTATGAAGGTGAGAGAAGGCGGGATCAGCCAACGAGCTGTAGTTCCCATCTGGAACCTCTCGAGCTGAGGCCAGGATTGCGCCATTGTCTTGAGTGAGGCATCATTGATGACCGAAGTGCACATCCAATCGAGGTGTGAGTTCGTAAAGCGACCAAACGACAGCAAGGGGGCCGGGGGGCAACCACGTCAAAGTCAAGTGCAAAGTTGGGACTAGCAAGTGTGTTTTGTGCGAAAAGGGTGCTGAATTCGTAGTCGAAGTCGATTTGGAGTTTCTCAAGAGCAGGAGAGAAGCACTTCGAGATCGAAACAATGAAGTCTGGAATATCCGGTGGATCATACGGGACCTCTAAGTCTTCGGCTAGTTCAGGGTCCAAATTACTGTAATCGACGCACGCGTTCACTGATCGACAGGAGAGAAAATAAATATTTCTGAGAAAGTGACTTAAGCCGGAAGGTGTCGGTGCAGTGATGTGCACTTGATTGAGTTGGGAGGAAAATGTAGGAGGGGAATTGGTTTGCATCTTGTGAATGTCGTAGGTCCTCAGGCTGAAGTCCAGAGACTTCAACGATGGTAAAGAAATCAAGTGGAGAAGCACTTGTGTGTTAAGAACCCCAATGCGAAGACGGCGGAGCTCTCGCAAGCCACATATAGCTTCACATTTTGCATCTGAACTTTCTTCAGAATCCCCACGACATACACAATCGAGTTCCTGAATGGATAGACATCGAGCGCCGAGGGAAGCTAACAAAGCGGATGTGGCAAAAGACTGGGTTGTTAAACCAAAGCCCAAGCTGGCCGACGTGATAGTTGACCCAAGGACGGTGCGCAACAACGGAAGAAAGCATTCTCGGTCATCCCACCAACCCAAACTGCGAAGGTTCGGCAAAAGTGGTGTGGGTGATGGCGTAGAAATCGACGTTTGTATGACCCGATCATCTATAGTGTCTAGATCAGAGTAGAAGACCGTTAAGGAGCGGATACGTTGTGCATATCCCTCCACTCTCTGTTTAAGAGGTCTCTTGAGCGTCTACTTGAAAATGTAATGCTGAGTATTTATATAATAATATCGTGTGGAGTCTCGCTCACCAACTTCCCTTGCAAGTCTCTGTCAGTGACACCTGCAGCCTGAGGCAAGCATGAGATGAGTGGCTGGAACCCATCTATATTTCCCAAAAGTACAAGCCCCTTGAACGTCCTACAGGTTCTTGCAAGATTTCCTCGTGTGCTAGGATAGCGAATATGTGCAGTAGGGTTTCGGTGGGTAAGAGACAGACATGCATGACTGCAAGAGAAATAAATCCGCCGCTAGCCAGTTCACTACACTAAGTATTCAGGCCTGCAGGTGGTGCCACTGCGTGTTGTCCGAAAATTCCGACGGCTGCTACAGTGCACAAAGGGTAGAACAGGCCTCTCTGTTCCGGGCTCAATATTGGTGCGATAAGGTGGAAGTGGGTTCAAAGATCATTCTAAGAAGGAAATTCATGAGTCATACTTAAGGTTGCATAGGAGCCAGTCGTCGGACTGTTTAGTGCGGTGATGGTAGTAGTGACGTCGTCCTTAACCGTTGACGCAAAAGGCAGTGATAATGCAAAGTCAGCTTCATATCTCGACAGTATTATGAAGGATGGGAGCCAACGGCTTATGTATACTCTTTCCTCAGAGTATGAGCGCGCCGCGCACACATGCTCTTGCGGATATTCAGGTGGTGGCATCCTTGATGTCTGAGGCTCGAGCCTAGCAATGGTGAGATCAAGGTGCCGATGTGGTCTCAACAGTACAATTTACTATTGTGATACTAAATCATGATTATAGGACACAATGTATACAACTGATAGGAAACATCATGAGGCTCGAGGGGCACTAGGGATCAAAATTATTTAGAAATCAAAATTTAAATATCATCTTGGTCAAAATTTAGTTGATACATGTTGTCTACATCTACGGCATAACTGTAGAGCCTACGTACGCTTCGGCGTTGGGTAGACGGATATATAGTTCCGTAGTACATGCTTGTAGGTATCCAAGTCGTTACGCAATATGTATGGGGTCCGTCAGGCCGGCAGCATGGGTTCCTGTGGTGTCTGGTCCATTTTCTCTCTCGTTGTTGCGCTGGTAGTAGGCACTCCCCAGGAACTTGTTCACCTTTATCCATTCATCCTCGAAACGTTCAAATGGCGGCGGCGCGGGGAACTCCGCAGGAAAGTGAACATCAAGCCAGTCTAAGAAGCCCACGAGGGTCAACTTGGGCAGTAATAGTTGCAGTTGACAAGCCACGGCATTAGGATCGACGATTGGAGAAACCCCCACGAAAAGTCGGGTGATCTTGTTGTTGGGAATGGTTTGAGAGAATGGCTCGCTGTTGATGTCTACTGGACATGCGCAAAAGGTCATTGCAATGCTGCGCAAGCGCCGGCAATGATGTATGAGGTGGACGAGTCCTATGAAGGTGAGAGATGGCGGGATCACCCAACGAGCGGAACTTCCAAACAAGAAATTCTCGAGCTGAGGGAAGGATTGCGCCATTGTCTTGAGTGAGGCGTCATCGATGGCCGAAGTGCAGATCCAATTGAGGTCTAAGTCCGTTAAGTGACTAAACGAAAGCAATGGGGCGACCACGTCAAAGTCAAAAGCAAAGCTAGTATCAGCAAGTATGTGTTCCTCAACGATGGTGCAAAATTCATAGTCGAAGTCGAATCTGATCTTCTCAAGAGCAGGGGAGAAGCACTCCGAGAAAGAGAAAATGAGGTCGGGAATATCCAGTGGATTATACGGGATATATAAACCACTGAAATCGACGCACACAATCACTGATCGACAGGAGAGAAAACGGACGTTTCTGAGAATGTGATGGAAAAAGGAAGGTGCCGGTATACTGATGTGCATATGATCGAAATGGGAGGAAAACGCTGGAGTGGAATTGGGTTGCATCTCGTCCATGTTATACTCGCGGAGGTTGAGATGCAAATACTTCAACGGAGATAAAGAAGCGGCCAAGTGCAGAAGCGCTCGTGTGTTAGGAACATCTATCTCAAGATGGAGGAGCTCCTGAAAGCCACAGAGAACTTCGAATATTGCATCTGAACTATCTTCAGAATCAGCGCCCCCAAAATAGCAGATGAGTTTCCAAATGGATGGACATCGAGCCCCGAGGGAAGCTACCAAAGCAGATTTGGCAAAAGACGGGGGACTTGTCCTAAAGTCCAGCTTCATCGACTTGATAGTAGACCCAAGGAGGGTGCGCAACAATGGAATGAGGCATTCATTGACATCCCCCCAAACCAAACTACGAAGGTTCGGCAAGAGCGGTGGTGGTGCAGAAATGAGCGCTTGCACAAGCCGATCGTCTATGATTTCTAGGTCGGTGTCGAAGACCATCAAGGATTGGATACGTTGTGCATATCGACCAATAAGCCTCCACTCTCCTGTTAAGAGAGGTCTTTTGATCGTCTATTTGACAATTATTCTGTATGGTGCGAGTCCAAATCTTAAATGCCCTACTCACCAACATTCCTCGCTCGTTTCTGTTGATCGCACCTTCAGGCAAGCATGATATGAGTGGTTTGAACCCCCTTATATCTTTCCAAAGCATATCAAGCGCGGGCTCCTTGAATGTCGTAGAGGTTCTTGCAAGAGCAGCAAGTGTAGCAGGAGAGAACGGTCCATATTTTTCAATAATAGCGAGTAGGATTTCGGTGGGTAAGAGACAGACATGCATGATTGCAGGAGATTTAGAGGAACAGGTTCACCGCTATGATGTTCGCTTCACTGAAGTTTCAAGCGGTGCTTAGTGCTAGATCGGTTGATGTCCATCATGAGATCTTGAGATCTGCTCAGTTGGTATAGTGGAGAGCCGTGTCTGAACTTTCGAAAATCAAAAATTTCGTGTTGATCGAGAATGTAATTGATACATGTCATAAAAGATAAAAGAGCTGTGCAGCTGGGGAATATTGCTACTTGACTTAAAGGTTAACGGTGACAGCCAGAGAGCGTGAAAACAAGAACGGGGTAAGATCCAAAGCATAAGAGTGAGTATGAGCAAAATATTAATCAGGTACTATCGGTGGGTTTTGCCATTTGTTTTCGTCGCGGTGCCAGATGGTGCGCCATTGCTCTTGCCGCCTGTACTGGGGCGAGGTTTCTTGGCAGAGGTCGAAGCTTCCGCTGACGCTCGTGGCGCAGCTTCCTTCATCACCATCTTGGCATGAATATCCTCTAATTTGGACGCTTTGACTTTCTTAGGCCAGAAAAGCGTCACAAAACTGCAGTCGGAGATGAAAATCGATATAATAGTGTAGGTGTTGGTACTCACGCCCAGAGATGTCGACGCCACCGTTCTCGGTCCTCTCCAGCGGCTTGTTTATTCTGAAGAACAATCTCGATGCGTCGTCCAATAGCAGCTAGTGAGTCTTTCAGAATGGCAACCTTGTCGTCGCGAGGCATGTCCTCCCCGGACAATTTTAATTGTTTCTAAATGAAGAAATCAAGATTTGCTTGGACATCACCAAGAATACACTGACCAGCTGCTTCTTGACCGGTCTCAACTCTTCTTTCGTCGCAGCCTCATCCATGGACGGGCTAAAAAAAATACGTCAGCATGAATATGTTGTTCTTAGTCTAGCACAAGACTGACCATTCGTCCGACGATTCGGAGTCCGTGAAGGTGGGAGTGGGTCGTCTCTTGCGGCGCTTCGCACCATCATCGATGGATGCAACGGCCTCACTCTCCGCCCGCCGTTTCCGGCTCATGGGAGGTGACGACGACGACGACGACGCCACAGCTGTTGGGGGAGGAGTGGCAGAAACCTTCAATTGACCCTTATTCCGCAAAGAGCTCTCGTACGAACGTAGCTTCTCGTCATGCTCGCGAAGTAGGCCAAGGAGGAAGTCACCTCGCCGGACGAGGTGGATAGCATTTGGAATCGGCCGAGTAGTGGCATCTTCCCCCTTCTTGCCTTCTTCCAAGAAGAATTTGCCTTGGAGGCCTAACCGAGCATCCTTCGCCATGGCCTCCCAGTTGCCGAATCCATATATGAAGGCGCCAATAAGGAGCATCGCATCCTCTTGTGGTCCCCATCGCCCAGACCAGTTGAGGGTTGGTCTGATGTTTTCAATCGGAATGGACCAATTGTAGAGCTCTTCCGTGGTGAACTCGCCCAGGATGTTGTTAAGGATGCGAAGGTCACGGTACCGCGATAGCACGGTCTCCGCGTTGATGTTCCCGACGTTGCGGAAAGTAACGAGAACAGCCTTGCTCTTCTGGGCGTTGGTCAAGGTCTCTCCTGCCGCTACACGATCCCGCTTTTCCTGGTTGTTCTGCTCCACAGCTTGCGAACAAACTTCGATGATCTCATCAGAAACGTCCATGATCATACCCTTGTGCTTGTCAGCAAGTTTAGATTCATTGACCTACAGAGAAACGAGGATCATGAACCGATTTGTCACGAAATAATAATATACTCACAATGACATCGTAGCGCTGACGGATATCGCCCCAACGCTGTAAACTTCGAATAAGAACACGGACGTCTCGCTCTTTGAGCTCCATAGCCTTCTGACTAGCAGTCTTCCTCTGAGGTCCTGGAGTTTTGGGTTTCTTTGGTGCAAGTGCAGGTGCTGGATGATCGACGTCCATGCCCTCATAGGACACAGGCGCATGGGTGCGCTTGCGATCTCTAAGTTCCGCCGCGACCAGCTCCTCAGCCTTCCGCTGATCCTCCTCTTTCTCGAACTTTTGTCGTTCCTCGGCAGGGATAATGTCTTCCCAATTCATGTCGTTCTTCACGTCGCTCACAGCAGCGAATTGAGCGAGGAAGCCTTCGCCACCAAGTGAAGCACCACCCTCAGCCGCCAGCGGCCATCGTCTCGTGGTCCTCGGCACGGTTGAGAATGTCGTCCAAGTCCATCTCAGTCAAGCTTTTGATTCTGTTGCGAGTCATCCTTGTCGAACCTGGAGATAAGGTGAATGAAGCGTCCTAGTTAGGAGACGTCGTCACTTACATCTTCTGAGCGCCATATTTCAAAACTGCAGTAAGCTCATCTTTGCTAAGATTGTCAGGTTTCATAGAATCCTTGACCTTCTCGCCCTTGGGGTTGGAGCTCAGGTGCGCTTGCGAAGTATCCATTTGATTGATGACTAACATTAATCGTGAGATCAGGTGTGAATCGAACATGAAGGCGTCACTCACTAGCATACTCCAAGACCATCTTCTTCTTGGCCCGTTCGAGGACGTCCTCCTCCATCGTGTCTTTACTGACAAAACGGTAGACGCTGACATGAGACTTCTGCCCGATACGATGTGCACGTGCCATGGCTTGCAAGTCATTTTGAGGATTCCAGTCGCTCTGCAAATACGTCAGCGATACGCCACCGTGCCTCAACAACCCACGTACGTCAAAAATAATGACAGTATCGGCAGTCTCTAGATTGATACCAAGACCGCCTGCACGGGTTGATAACAGAAAAGCGAAGTCCGGTGATCCTGGTGAGTTGAAATGCGCTATTGATCTTTTCCTCGCATCCGACGCGACCATGCCATCCAAACGTTGATGTTGGTATCCGCGGAGGATTCATATAATCGCTCAAGATGTCTAACATCCGGACCATTTGACTGAAAATGAGTACGCGATGACCATCCTGTCGCAGACGTGCGAGGAGCTTGTCGAGTAGAACCATCTTGCCGCTGTTCATGACCAGGCCCTTGAGGGTCTCGTCGGTAACATCAGTGCGCACTTCGGCACCGTCGAAAAGATAAGGGTGGTTCGCAGCTTTTTTCAGCTCCATGGCAATGTTCAAGAGGCTGATGTTGTTGTTCCCGTTTGCGCTCTTCACTAAACCTTGGAAGTTCTGAACGAAGGTTAGTAAAGGTTAACAGGCAGCCGATTATAATTCTACCTTTGTCAAGATGTTCTTGTAAAAATGCGTCTGCAGGGCAGACATTTCTACTCGGAAGGATGCGTTCACTCTTTGTCGGTAAGGAGGTAAGGACGTCGCGTTTCAGCCGGCGGAGCATAAGCGACTCGAGTTGTTCATGCAGCTCCTTGATCTTGGCTTCAGTGGTCCGCGTCGTTTAGGTCGAACTCGTTTGTTAAGGCGACTGTAAACAATGTCTCTTCAGCCACAGCCATAATGACGGGAACACGACACGGAACGTACACTTCTCAGGCATCAGGAAGTGCATCAATGAAAGCAGTTCTGCACGCGGTGTAACGTCAGTAACGATCACCAAAAATCTAGTCATAGCGACACGCACCTTTCACATTATTTTGCAGCGGCGTACCGGTGATCAATAGCTTCGACGCAGCAGGGAAGGACCGCAGAGCCTCGTACAGCTGGCTTTCCGAGTTCTTGAGTCGATGAGCCTGAAACGGCTGTCAGTGAATGCCCTGGGATGCCCTTGTCCTCTGCCTCACCTCGTCCACAGCAAGCGCCTGCCACTTGATAGTCCGCAAGTTCCTTCGCGTCTCTGAGTGTGAGCTCGTACGTAGGTTAGTAGGACGTTCATCTTCAGTCGTTTGTTGGAGGGTCCGAATTCATACGTCCGAATGACCTCGCGTGCAGGGGCAGTTCCTATGTAGGTGATGACGTTCAGATCAGGCGCCCACGCTGCAAACTGCGATTGCCAGGCAGGTGATGGTGGAAAGCGGAACGATGACAAGGAAAGGACCATATTGGTGCATTTCATGGAAAAGATAAGAAAGGAAAGAGACGGTCTGAACGGTCTGTGGGCAAATTTTAGCATTCCGGAGGGCGCAAAAAAATATCCAGTATACCTTTCCGAGACCCATTTCATCAGCAAGGATGCCATTCTCGCCCTTACTCCACAAATATGCCAGCCAGTTGAGTCCGGTGACCTGAAAGTCCTTCAGCTCTCCACCGGTCGCGGTGATGTACTCAGGGTCCTTCTCAATCTTCTGGAATGTTGGTCGCTGATTACGCGCATAACTGACGCTCTTGTAAGGGAACTTTGCCTCGACCTCTCGGTGACGATACGCCTCAATTTGCGCTTTGGCGATAGGGCGCACTTCATCCTGCGCCTCCCATGTACAGTGCTCGTAATTGAGTCCGGTCCATTTGCAGAAGTACTCCGTGGGGCCCTCTGAACTATCGCGATGCGAGACGATGCGTTCAACAACCTTGTACGTCTCGAGCTCCTCCTTCTCGCGTTCCTTTTCAAGAAGCAAGGCCTCAGCATCTTCTTGGGAGATGCCTGGCGCATTGAGGCGAGACTGGTACATCTTGTAGGCTTTGATATAGTTGTCGACGCGCTTGAGGCCCTTGAAGCGTTTGAGGAATTCGTAGGTCTCATCTGTGTTATGCAGATGCGAGAAATTCTTCCACTTAATGTGGAAACGCTGTAAGACGCGTCAACAATCATCTACTTTTTCAAATTTGCGGTGACACTTACAACATTATCAAACCATATATCTTCAGGATCATCTTCACGACCTTCATCTCTGCAGTGACTCAAAACAGACTCGATCTCATCTTCCTCCTTGAATCCCGCAGACGTATCGACGTAGTACCCTTCATCGACTTCCTCTTCTGATAGCTCAGCAAGAGCTTGAACATCATCAGTATAATTGGGAATCTTGCCGCCTCGGCTAGAGACGCGGATTTCGTCTCCAGAAACACGAGGCCGTTTCTTCTTTTTCGATCTGGACCCATACTCTGAGTCTGAATCTGAGTCGTTGTTCCGAGATATGGCTGTACAAAAACTGAGCTTGAGCGCTTCACTGAAGGAAATGAGGGTCATACCTTTAGGTCTTGGTGCCGACGACGACGGTTGGGATTTCTTCTTTCTCTTCTTGGGAGTTTTCTTTTTACCGTATTCGTCGTCAGCGTAGGAGCCGTCGTCCTCGTCATCATCCTCGTCCCCGACATTGTCTTCGTATCCCTGAAAAAAAAAAAGGTCACGATCTCGGAAAGAAGAAATAAAATAGAAGAGATTATAGATAGATAATAACGTACCGACTCTTCGGCGTCCTTTGAACGTAGATATGATCCTGAATTAAATTGGTACCACTAACATATGACGTGCGAGACTTACCGAGTCCTTTGGAGTGTACGAAGGATGGCTCAGCAATAGCAACAGAGGTAGTATCATCGACATCCTCTGCATCACCATCGGCATCTGCGTCTGCATCTTGAACATTATCGACAGGAGTGTGAATGTTGTTGACTTGTTCATTTTCAGAGTCGACCTGCATGGAGTCATCACTGTCATAGTTGAGGTTAAGAGCGTCGGGGTTGAGCGCCATGATGTCGACGCTGTGACGGACAGTGGGGGGGGAGGAAGTGGTTGGGAGGAGAGAGGGGAGGGAAGAGGTCGTCAAGGATCTTGTTGACGAAAATGTTCACACGTGTGGCCATCGCTACGGACAACGCCGGGCAAGGCCCCATCGTCACCGCTCATGGCATTGGTGAAATCCGGCTTGGGTCATAACATTTTGAACTAATTTTTACCGAAACTTAGTTTTTCAAGTTAATTTTGTATTGTTCTAGACATATTTTTGAGTAATTTTTAACAGTTTATGTTAAAATTTCCGCGCCATTCTCATCGCTGGCGGTCTTCGGATAGAACATCGAATACAGCATCATGCCACCCAGTTGATGGCTCCAAGCACCCTATAACAGCATCCTTGTTATCTACTACTGTCCGGCCTTGGTTACCGCTCAACCAACGCCTAGTACCGCCAAATGATCTCATCGTTTAGTTTCTCAACGTGATTCGCATCGATCAATGATAACGAGGCATTATTCTCACCTTTCGTCCAAAATCTCCGCCAAATCCACGCTCCTCGGCCAGCGCTCACCGCTGAGTCCAATGACCCCGAAGTGATCGCAGTACACCCACGTCACGTCAGGGCTCGAGTATACTAAGTAGTAAATTGTATAATACGTTGCTCCCCACATCATGACTTTCTCAGGCACCACCATTCCGTTCGTCGAAGCACACAATCCAGTGCCAAGTCATCCAATCAACGATCATCTCGCCTTTTGCGCATGCCCCTTCATCGCCGCGCTCCGGAACCTATACCTCATCTTGGGTCATGCCAGCGCTCATCACATGCTGCTCGCTGTGTGGTGACTAAACTATCTGCCTTCCCTCATCAAGAACAATGTCCAGCCTTGCTGCATCCGGCAACATCATATCGAATGTTCCACGAACTCTCTAGGGCCGACTTTCGATGGGACTGCGCACTGATCTGCAACGCCTCTTTTGGTCCTCACGGGCATCCGCCGATGGTCCGCAATGCGTTGATGAATTATTTGTAATCACATTCTGGGTCACGTGCTGTCGCCAATTTAGCTTGCTCGCTGACCCCAACGATGAACACATGAACTTTCCTGTTTTTCTCGCCCCTTTACCTAGAGGACCCTCTAACACCCATGATACGAAGACTGTTTACCCGCCACACTAATTTAGCCGCAATACCCCTTCAGGTCGTCTCTTGTCACGAAGCTGAGGTTATCGCGTTAACGACGTCTGTTCCCTCCCAAATAGCTGCGATCGTCTCTTTTGAGGCCCTTGATCAATGCTTCCATTCTTCATTCATACCTCTTCCCGCGAATATATGGTAGCACATCTGTCGAACTCTATGACCCTGAGTGATTGATCATGAATGCGGACCAAAGCCACGCATCTCCTACGCGAGATCCGAAATATTCATGCTCCACAGACCAACCCGATAACGTTGATTTCAAATCCGCATCCCTCGGACGAGCTCGTGATCAAGCGCTTGCGGTACGAGAACACGAATATGCAGTAAGATAAAGTAAGTTCGTACGGTCATTGGCTAAGGTCATAGACGCATGTGAGAGTCAGCAGATACTTTGAACACGCCAGCCTGACATTTTCAGCGAGTCCGCTGACCCACAGAGGTGTGACATGGTGACCTCGAAATGTCGTGCTCACTTCCCACTATCTGTATCCGACGGACAGACGTAATCTGGCTCGTCAATGTGCCTTCACTTCCACCTCTTGAGTAATTCCTCGGTTTAACCCTAAATTACACGATGGAATCAGGTTCACAACGGACTCCAAGCAAAGGATTTGTGACAAGAAACAGCGCTGTTGACGGCTTCGCCGGCTCTGTGGGAAACACCCCATTGGTGAGGAGATCCACCCGTGATGACAATGAAATGCCTCTCTAACAGCGACTATACGTGCTCAGATCTATCTTAAGACACTCTCAGAGCAGACAGGATGCAAAATATACGGAAAGGCCGAATTCCAAAACCCCGGAGGCAGTGTTAAAGATCGTGCTGCTGTCAGCATAATTCGAGATGCGGAAGAGAAGGGTCGGTGAGTGGGCATAACATGCTTCGTTGGCGCACTGAGCGTTGAGGATGTACACAGCATAAAACCCGGTGGAACCGTCGTAGAGGGTACTGCAGGTAATACTGGTATCGGCCTTGCCCATGTTTGCAGAGCCAGGGGCTACAGGTGTGTCATATTCATGCCTAACAATCAGGTGAAAGAAATCATATGACCACTGTCTTATTTGCTGACGCTTTGTCACATCAGAGCCAAGAGAAGATTGACCTTCTCCGAATGCTCGGTGCCGAAGTGCACCCAGTACCCACCGTTCCCTACGAGAATCCGTTGAACTATAACCACCAGGCGAAGGAGTACGCCGAAAAGCTCGAGAATGCCATATGGACAGACCAATTCGACAATACTGCCAATGCCTACGCGCACTATATCTCGACTGGGCCCGAAATATGGGAACAGACGCAGGGTGAAATCGACGGTTTCGTTTGTGCAACCGGTACTGGTGGCACTCTGGCTGGAGTTGGCAAGTATCTGAAGGAAAGGAGCAACGGCAGGACGCAGATATGGCTCGCCGATCCGCCTGGCAGTGTCTTGTACGAATATGTTACTTCTGGTGGAAATCTCGTCGAGCGTTCCGGAAGTTCTGTCACAGAAGGTTATACTTCTCTGTATATTATTGTAATCGCAATGCTGAACGTTCCACACAGGTGTTGGTCAGGGCCGTGTTACGAGTAATTTGGGCACTTTTGTCAATGACCTGACAGGAGCGTTTCACATACCGGACGAGAAGGCGATATCTATGGTATATCAGCTTCTTGACACCGAAGGCTTGTATGTAGGCACTTCCTCAGCATTGAATGTCGCTGCAGCTGTGGAGCTTGCGCAAAAGCTAGGCAAGGGTAAGCACTGATAGTCAACTACATTTCAAGCCGGAACCCAATTTTGTCTATCAGGCTCCAAGGTTGTGACTATACTATGCGATGGCGCATACCGATACCAGAGCCGTTTGTTTTCCAAGAAATGGCTTGAGTCTAAAGGGTTAGGGCATGCTATACCAGAAAGTCTGAGGAAGTATGCGGTTCTGGATTAATTTCATTCGTCGTGCACACCGGTGTATATTATTTGAAGGTTACCGACTACGCCTAACTCTAACGTGGTGGCGGCCATTCCTGAATGATTGATGAGCTCTGGACAAGCAATGTTCCCCCCAAGTCCAGGCGACCTGAATTCCTTGAATTTGTTTGATACCAGTAGCCATTACACAGGCAGAAAAGGTTTCCTGATCTGAGTCAGTCTGATTATTGATATTCCGACACGTCAATGAGTCACGTGAACAAAATAACCCGCTGACTTGACAAGTTGCGAAAGCCTTCATGACTCAGTCATGCACTAATATACTTACCGTTAGTTCTGTTACTCTCAACCTCAATCATGGAAAAAGCGTCACATCTATCCGTAATAGTGGATCTATCGCCAACGCAATGGCACCTCTCTGCACAAGCATCAAACCAGTATCCACTTTCCATCGAGACGTTCCTCTCTCAGCTCCTCGCATTCCTGAACGCGCACATCGCATCCAAGCATGAGAACTCACTTGTGGTATTTGGCGCTCTTCCCGGGAAGAGGTGAGATGTGTCCTCAAGAGTAGGCAGCTTATGGACTGACGGACAGTGTGATGCTTTATTCATCGACGGAGCTGCTCACGGATGACGTGCCCTCTTTGGATGCCAACTCGTATCTGCCGTTCAAGCTTGTGGATTCGACAGTCGTGCAGCGGATCATGAACGAGTTCGATGCTATTGGAAAGCTTGAGGAGGAACGTAAGCGATGGCCATTTCACCTATCTTGTGTCACCTCATTTGCATCATAGCTCCATGTGCATTGGTAGGCGCTGTGACGAAGGCCCTTTGTTGTGCGTGAAGGGCAACGCGTCATGACCAGCGACCTAACATACGTGCATACATACAGACATCAATCGCATCATTCATCCCTCATCAGCGACGACCGGTGTCGCAGAGGACCCGTCGATCGTCCACGACCCTCGCATTTTGATCCTATCGGTCTCCCCTGATCTGTCTTCTTCATACATCCCGATTATGAACGCTATCTTCTCCGCACAAAAACTGGCATGTCACTCCCTTCAGCAGTATATTGTTTGGCTGACTGAAATACGGAGTAGAAGGTGACAATCGATGTGTGCAAGGTATATGGGCCCGACACAGTATTTTTGCAGCAAGCAGCCCACCTGACGAACGGGTCCTACATTTACCTCGAACGCAGAGATGCGCTCTTGCAATACCTGCTTGTAATCTTATTTCGAGTCTGCTGTATTCTGTTGCTCACCAGGTATCGTTACTGCAGATGTCCTTCCTATCGCCACCATCCATCCGCAAGATTCTAGCTGTACCAAAGCAAGACAAGATTGACTTCCGCGCTGCATGCTTCTGCCACAAGAACATTGTAGATATCGGTTTTGTCTGTTCCGTTTGTTTATCTAGTGCGCATTTTCATTATTGCTCAGTTGGTGGATTTTAAGGAGCCTGTGATTTTGCAGTTTTCTGCCAACCACTCCCGGTGTGCTCAACATGCCGGTTAGTTATCCTCGTTCGCCGGCTGCCTACTTTGACCTAACCGAATCACAGAACAAAGTTCCCCATCAATACACTCAAGCGGCTCAATGCTGTTCGCCCAGCCATTACTCCTGCGAATTCACGCATGGGGCTTCCGCTGGCCAACTTGAACAATGCAGCAACGCCTCGTCCAACCCCCACTCCTGCGCCGAATGGGATGTCTAGTCTCAGATGAGAAAATCCCCAGCTCACGATGCATCATGTGAAGAGTTATCTGCCGAGACGAGGATCGCGTCCGTTGAAATAAAATCATGCCACCACATGAAGGCTGCACGGTGTTATCGGTGAATGGGCAGCGCAGTTATGTACACTGATGACTTGTCTGCATCTACGGCAGAGCCAGTCGACGCTGGTCGACGCAAAATGGACACCTGCATGTTGTTTTAATCAGTTTTTGTACATCGCTAGTTTTGTGGGTACCTTAGGTGAGGGTTTGGCGGTGCTTGCATACGCGACTGCCATGCTGTCTGTGGTGAACGCGCACCATAACCTCGCTTGGCAATAAATATTTCCCTGATGGACAGAATAAGATTGTATTGGGATGACTTACGTAGTACTTCATCACCTTCGCCGTGTTCTTTTGTCAAAAGCAAAACTCCTGCATTTGGTGTCTGCTCTCCTCGTTGGCGCAATGGTTCTATAAGGACCACCCGAATTTGTTGACCAACATGGATTGCTGCGGTACAGCAAGCTTACCAGTAAATTGTTGATTCAGTATTCGAAGCAACACTTGGTGTGTATCCACCTCGCTGTGATTTGATTGTGGGGATTGTAAGGCTTCGCCCAGCACATGGGCTAGTCCGCCCCGCATTATGTGTTCCCCTGCTCCAGAGATACTACACGCCATCCCAGAATGTTCATTGCGTGACTGCTGCGCCCAACACCCGGTGCCAAAGGTAGCTGCCTGTTTAGTTTAGCCCGAAGATCGCGTCATCTATGATTGTCTGTAAACTTACTTCACCGATACGACCAGAATATTTGAGCAGCAGCCCACCACTAGTTGATGTTCATGACTTTTCAGCTAAAGTGTCTGAGGACACACCTTGAAACACCAGCAGCAAGATTCCCTTCGTTATCCCAAGCCACAGCACCAACTGTATCTTGCATGGCATCTTGAGGCAAGCTCTCTTGGTCACCATTAGTGGAGCGAATCAATCGCGATTTCCATTTTTGCCACTCTTGTGTCGCTCGCGGCGATATCATTTTATTTGGAGCAACAGTTTGTATATCTTGTGACGATGCAAACGAGTGTGCACCGGAGGCGACAAGAGTCCTCACGAGGACTCAGTACTCTCATTTGACAAAAGTGGTACCTTCACTCACATGGGACGAATGCGCCCAAGAGGGTCGGATTCTCTAGAGTGCCTCAACACCGCCGATGCCAGTTTTATCGGATTTTTTACCCCTACCCTTCTGAGATCAACCAGCAAGATAAGTCGTCACGGAGATCGCCAAACCTGGAACAGCACCAACACTGCCGAAGTCCCCTGACAAGCCGTCCATGACAGCCGCATCGCATTCGACAGTGCCGTCGATGGTCAGATTAGAACCGTAACCTGATGCATGGTTAGAAAACATCCAGCCCAGTAAATGTGATGCAACTAAGGACAAGGACTACGATCTGCCGCACCTGCGTTGAGGCATTCATCATCCTCAAGAACAGATATGGCTCGCTCTACAACAGAGAGGGCAGAAGAGTCGTCTACTCGTGACTCCTGCAGAGCTCGAGCGCAAGCGCTAGCGTAGTACTGATGAGTTTGACAGAATGTCGGAGTTTTCTGGCTTTATATACCGTTTCAAAGCACTCTTGACGCTTTGTTCTGACGCAACCCCATGACATCCAGCCCCTCCGTGAACTGCGACATACACACGGCGTTCGCCCATCGGCGCCTGCATTGTGCAATATGCAGCAATGTGTACAGTGTCACAACACTGTACACTGATTCTGAACTGATGGGTCAAGTCGCGCCGATCACATGACTTGAAATCGAGTATAAAAACGACGGGGCCTTTCTAAAATTCTCATCGTAAGGGCAAGCTGGCTGCTGCACATGTACACAGGCTTACAGCTGCATCAGTTCACCCCTACGATACTTAATTTCATAAGATGTAGGGCCAGCTTACGCGGCAACGCCCAGCGGCTACCTTTCGCTATCGCCGACTCGCAGCGCAGAGCAAGTCAAGCTAGAAAATAAGTATGGCATGGAGTTGTCACTAAGTTCCGTCTTTGCAAGCGCTCGCTTGGTAACCTTTTCCCTTTCGCCTCGAGCTTGCCCCAATTTCGGCACTATCGGTAGAGTTTTGCGCAGCAATGAGATCAATCATGATCACATTGGCAATACGCCTCTTAAGGGAGCGCCTGGGGCAGTTGGCGACACCGCCATAACACAGCATACGGATCGTGCAAATCTCTCGAATAAACTGTGGGCTACGAACCCACTACCTACTAAAGGTAGCGGGAATTAGTGCGACGGCTAGCATATATCCTTCTTATTTCTTCACTCACTGGGTTACAACCAAGGCCGGGTTTCTTCAAATTCTGGTTTCTTCCACAGCGGTGGTCAACCCATCCATTGATTGCGGTTACGATCCACTGGCACACCAGCATTTGTGGCTGTGTTTATATGCTGTAACCTGTTGGTCCCTGGTAGCCGAGAGACATGTGCAATATAAAACTCATGTCCCTGTCATGAATCAGTTAGCCTCCCCTAGCCAGACCAATCGAAGGAAGATAGTCGTTCCTTCGTATTAGGGTCTGCTTTTCATTGTCAGGTCGTTACCACTAGGTCTTCAAAATTTGAGTACCGCTGTCCAGCATTGTTCGGCAGTATTCGGCACGTGAGCTCCTTTTCAAACATGAGGACAAAAACCAAGCTCGATAACACGAAAACAGTCTGCGAAAACAGTCTGCGAAAACAGTCTGCGAACACGGTCGATGGCGTAGAATCCATCGACCCCACTCACTCCAAGTCCTGCTACAAATATCTTGCAGCCATATCACTATCCACCACTTGGATCACCTGTCCCAAACTATTACTATTACCACCCATCGTACCATGCATCGCCCAGCGGATGAGCCCCAGTTTTGCAATACTCACTGGCGAATGACGAGAATGAGCGCCCGCCCTGTCCAGAGACGCCAGTGCACTCGTTCAAGGTACTGTAACGCCTGCTCAGAGTCGAAAGCGGAAACAGCATGAGCACTTCTTACCACTGACACCAACGGCCTCGAAACGTACACGACGCACCAGCACAAACAAGCTCACCTCCTTCGAGCTCCTCGATTCGTTCAATTGGACGTCGGGTGAGTTGTTATACAATATTTTCCGCCTCACCGATGAACAAGGCGATGTTACCCACTGTTCCCTCCAACATGCAATGTCTGTCAGTCACTTCTTGAAGGGACGCTCGACATATGGTGTTGGTATGGTTCTTGAGGCATGGTTTAGAAGCTCCGACGGAGCGCAAGTTGCAGACACGCAAGAGAGCCTGCAAATGTACGGTATGGCAGTGCAGTACAAGGATATTCGAGCAGCACGTCCGGCACTCACCTCATTTGCTCCTCAGCTCGTCAAGGCTGAGCTCATCCAAGAAGCAGAGCGCGCTGTCAACGTATCAAGCGGTCTCCATACATCGACCACGAAATTATCAGATTCAAGGCAATCCCACGACCGGGACTCTGCGCAGCTTCGCTGGACAGACATTGGGTCCACAACCGTCGAGTCTGTTGCTGAAGTTATCCAAACTTGACAGATGAAGTTTTATATGCATGAGACGAATGAATGTGTCCGTTTTACCGCTCCCCGTTGCGATTACAAGCAGCACATCATCGCCATTTAACAAGCACTCTATAGCCCCGAGCTGGAAATCATGGGTGTCGTGAGGCATTCGTTGTCTAAGGATGTTCCGACAGTACTCTCGTCCTTCTTCCGAGTCGAAAATGAATCGATTACGATCATTGCGAGAACTCATATCGCACCGACGCGCTGCTACATCTCGGCGCGTCTACAGTCAACGCGTTGCTGTGGCATGATGTGGAGTCGGAATGCTCTCGATTATTCTGCGGCAACCCATTGCGCACGAACTGGTCATCCTTGAGCCGGACGATGGGTGTAAGACTGCAAGTAGGTTCACGAATACACATGGGTACGATTGGTTTTAATTGGCCTTTTTAAAACAGCGTACTTACAAACGGATCAATATCCTGCCTTGCGTAATTCACTTGATGGCGTTGGTCAGGCGATCATTGGTTATCAACGCAATCATACTCTAGAGGTCTCTTGAAACGATGAATACGCGGGGGCGTTCCTGATGCTTGGGTGCGTGATACAAATTAAAACCATGACGTTGACGATTTTTATCCGACATTGTAGCCCCGTGGCATCAAGGCTCGTGTATCTGCGGTCGTACGTGTCAATGGTTATGCACAATTTCTCGCCGTACTGGGAAAGAGAGCTTATGTATTGGATCAACGTCACTTTGGATACCCACCCAAACGATGCCAGGACGTGCAAGATATCCGACGAATTGTTGAATTGTTGAAATCATATACAGTGGCAGCGAGAACGTGTTCGCGGAGAAAAAGGCAGCACTTAGAGACTCCAGCCACTTTATTTCTTATTAATGCGCAGCCCGAAGTTGGCGATCTCACACCAAGTTGGAGGAGCCGTGAGGAGCCACTGGTGCACGGCAGATCCGAGACCGGACGACATGTGTCAGTTCCCTATCCCCATTCATACAGTCATTGAATATTGATGCCTCCCTATTTGCATATCTCTCCAGCTGGCTGTGTGAATCAAGCAACAGATTGTGCTGCCATCATGATCAATCATGCATTTTGCCGTTGGGTAGTATGATATCGATACCACCAATTATGCTACACCTATGGCGCTGCTTCTCAGTCTGCTGTTCGGTTAATGTTTGCATCCTTGGCCCGGCTGCCACTTGGCAGGCAGTTTGGACAGGATGTCATTGAACGAGTTTTGACTGGCTGCGTCATTCGACTTGTCCGTGCTATAGGGAATGCTGGTATTCGGCTAGCCTCAAGGCTGATTGGTTTGAGGGATCTCAGTTTCCGGCACGAGCGCCACAGAGCTAGTATCTCGTGACCGTGAGAGGACGGGAACATCAAATGAACAAACGGGAGCAGTTTCAATGATGATACGTCTGGGTTTTATGGGTGCGTACAGACAGGACTATACTATACAGTGCAAGGTGCCAAGAAAGAGCTAGGCTACGATAAACAAGTCTGAGAATATGAATCCGAGGGTGAGTCGTAAGGAGGTCACGACAGAAAACATGTGTCTCACAAGAACTTTGAACTTTGTAAGGTTTAACGCTACGCTAGGCGCCACCAGCGAATTGTATTGTGCTTAGCGGTTTCGAGGGCGTCTCCGTGATTTCGTCGTTACGATCAGTCTTCCACAAGGCGACGTGCATGCGCGTTGCGAGAATAGTAGTGCATACCGATCTGGAAACTGGATTCGATGTAATAGTCCAAGTGTAAGCGCACGACGGAATGGGGGCGGGGGTGTACTTACTATTGCAAACTGCTGCTGTAATCATCCTGTCAACCTGATTCAGTGGATGTTAAAGGTACAGAAGTGATCCTTGGCTACCTTCAGGAGCAGGAAGGCTAAAATATTTACAGCTGACCAAACTGTAGGCGAGTTTAAGCATTCTGATGATAAATTAGCAATCATGGCTCACGGAGGCCGCATGCATAGTAAGTCGCATTCTGTTGAACGATAACTTTGAGCAGATGGCTACCGCTTTCGCGATACGATTTAATGACTTGAATTCCAACAAGGATAACGAGTTCTTCAAAAAGGTCATGATATATCAATAAAGAGTAAGTGTTTCGAGATAAAAACTTACCTAACTCGAATACCATGAGTGAGATGAACATTACATATAATAAATTGCCCTGAGAGGTCAGGTAGCATCCGACAAGGGTGGAGACAGGTGATTTCGAGACTAGTTCAAACTGATTAGCACATGAATCTGGGATGGCATACTGCAACAAAATCAAAACACAAACATGTGGTAGACCCGCCCGATGATAACCCCACGGCAGCCACGAGAATGACGCAGGCCTGACTGAATTCAGTGATTTGCTCATGTCAATCTGCATAGAGCAACCAACGGAATATGTGACGAGAATGAGTGTAAGGACTCGTTTGCTTTTTCGCCACAATGCGTATGCTCTGATGATATACAACCCTAAGGCGCGTTGACGATCATACATGTACATGAAATCACCGAGGTGAAATGACTTACCCTCCGAACATCCGATGGAAAGAAGCGTGAACACTGACTCGAATTATCTCAGAAGGCAAAAAATTGAAGCGATGCGCTACGATGCGCACCTCTGACGGTGAGATCGAACGTGTGACAGTCCTAAAGTTTGGTAGCCTCTAAGCGACGGTATGAACGATCAAAACTAAACTGACTCACATTGACGTTGGGATCAGACATAGAGTCCACTGCAAACAGAATTCTGAATAATTGAAGAGAGACTATGTCTAAAACTCACTATAGACTCGAAAAAAGAAAACTCCGAAAGTCGAGTAACGGGCAGTTATAAACAAAGCTTTTGTTGTTCCCCACTTTGATTTGCGGAGGTACACGAGCTAGAAAGTGTGCTCAGAAGTTGAGGTCAATCAAATTTATTGCACAAAACGCACTTCTTCATCGAACGTCAGACTGTAATCGTACAGCTATGAAGCAGTAAATATATGTCAATCCATAAGAGACCGAATCTACCACATTTATTCATGTTACTCACCCAAAGAAAGGCCATTGCGGCTTCACATAATGATCGAGTCGCGGAATCATGATAGAATGAGGAGGCGTACCATAGAAATACTGACGACAATGTTAACAAGTGAGAAGAAGCATCATGAAAGCCACTCACAGTCAAGGCCTGATAGCTATACAGCATTGGGAGGTCATAAGCGTTGATGACACCGTCCATGATGAATGCTTCAAGAGTGAACACGGGAAGTGGTGAATATAAATGTATGCCTCAGCACAGCTGACTGGAATCAAATTCTCGCGATCAAGAGAATCTGATCTCATGCGCTCGAAGAAAGATGGGGAAGATATCACATATCAGCGATAATCAAATCTTCACTGCAGTGTAGCATGCACACCAGGGTCCAGTTCAGGGCAGCATTCAAAATCAAGTCTAAGGCCGCAATAGTATTCCCATTCATAGTCGTCGGTTTACATATCTCCCAGCTGTGGATCAATATGTGAAGCGCATCATGGAATATGATGTCCATACTACATACCGGTACGGACGGTCCGTCCAGGCTGTACTTCACTACTAGCTAGTGGCTGCGCATGGCACATGATGATCACATCGCCTTGCACTACACGCGTCCATGACACCGCAGCGTCCTTTTCAGTCCCGCCAGTTCATGTTGATATACTGCCAGTAGGGGCCCTGCCAGGAGCGTGTCCAGTTGCAGCCAGTTGCGTGAAATGAAGTAACGGGCACATCAAAATTGCACCAAACCAGACCTGGCTGGACCTGACCCGCAATTGGGCTTAAGTTTCATCCTCATCATGACCCGTGGGAATCGGGGATATCACCTTAGATTAGCCTAGTACTACTGAGTACGTCAACTCCGCGACGTTTTCGTCCAATATTGCCGTGTTCTGCAGCCGAGTAGTAGACGCAGTATCTTAGGCTTACTTACAGGTATACCAAGCCAATACCTCGTCGCTGTATGGCGGCCCTCGCTCAACTTCTTGGATATGGTGTCCTTACCCTTGCAGTGTGGAAACTCATTCAGAGGCGGGCCTCCAGACAGGCAAACGCTCTAAATGTTGCAGGCCCAGAAAAGGAACACTGGTGGAAAGGTTGGCTTTCTCTGGACGTCAGTCCCGCAAATTGGACGCTCACGTTCATGGATGCAGGCAACCTGGAGTTAATGTTCGTGGACAGTTTTGAACGTTGCTTAAAGGTCGCCATGGATTATGGTGGTGCCGTTAAAATCCATGCCTTCTTTGGAGTGCGTGGTATGCAGTACTGTGCATAAGGCATTATCATTGATGTGCGTGACTTCCAGGAGGAATGGCTATATGTATCAGATCCACGCGCGCTCCACCATATCCTTGTTAAAGAGCCACATATCTTTGAGGAAAATGATGCCTTTTTATCGTAAGCGCCAAGCATTGTTCGAACGTTCTTCATTAACCTTTCTCGAGTTGCAACAATCTCATCTTCGGCGAAGGTCTTATTTCTACGCTAGGTAAACCCCATTGATAATTGTTCTGGATTATCTTCATCGCCGCACAGGAGAACAACACCGAAAGCAGCGCAAAATGCTCAATCCAGTGTTCTCCATATCCAACATGCGAGAGCTCCTGCCCATTATTCAAAACATTTCCCACCAGCTAAAATCCATCCTCGTAGCAAGCATTCCCGCCCACGGTAAGCATGTTTAGGTGCACTATCATCCATCGCTTCACGGCACGTACAGATTCCGTAGAACTCGATGTTTTACCCTGGCTCTCTCGCAGTGCTCTCGATTGTGTTTGCGAGGGCGTGCTGGGCTACCATTCAGCTGCACTAGACACAGGGAGCGAGGACGAGTACATAAAGTCGCTACGGATGATAGGGTACGTAGACTAATCTGCCGGTGAAAACATCCCTTGACATGCTTGTCCAGTCCATCCATCAGCAAAACCATGTTATTTCGACCTTTGGTTCCCATATTTGTGCGCAATTTGTCTCTTTTCTGGCGTAAAAAGATAGTGGACTGGCTCACGATAAATTGGTTGCCGACGCAAACCATGAGAGATTTTAGAGAGCTACGCCGCGTAGTCGAAATCATGGACTCAGCCAGTAGAAGTATTTTCCAAGAGAAGAAGACTGCACTGGAGACACCTTCCCCTATCACATCACAATCCCATGACACATCTGGAGAAACGAGGGGAAAAGATATCATGTCTATCATGCGTGCGTAATCAGTTGCCCGACACATTCTTTCCTCACGTGGGACATACGCAGTCAAGGCAAATGCCTCATCTTCCGAGGCAGATAGACTGACTGATGCCGAGCTTCTGGGACAGATAAAGTCAGTTCTAGTTGCTTCCATGCGGTGACAACTGATTTCTCTACCAAACAGTGTTATGACTTTTGCTGGTGTCGATACCACGACGGCAGCAGTGGCTCGTGCATTGTACATGCTTGCGAAGCATCCTCACGTCCAGGAACAGTTGAGAGCGGAGATCTGCGATGCCGTGACTTCATATGAAGCCGCTGACGTCAATCCTTCGCACGCTAAAGATGACAGCGGGTCCCTCAGACTGCCATACGATACATTGATCAATCTTCCTTTGCTAGACGCAGTCGTTCGAGAGACCTTAAGGCTCTACCCATCTCTGCCTGTCCTCAGTCGAAGGTCAGTTGGTTGAAAGGAGACATTTTCTACTGACTCTCCCGAAGAACTACAGAAGCAGCGTCAGTGCCATTACAATTTCCAGTTCGGTCTGTATCTGGCGAAGAGATCGATGCGATTCCTGTGGCTCAAAATCAGAGACTCGTCATATCAATCCTTGCCGCGAATCATAACCAAAACATCTGGGGCGAAGATGCATCAGAATGGAAACCTGAACGATGGCTCAACTCGACTCAAGGTTAGCTTTTATACATGCCAGAAGGGGCCGTCGCTCATCAAGATTCTTTCAGCTGGGGTCAAGAATGGAGTGAAATATACTGGCGTTTATTCTTCCATGTGTGTCAAACAATCACATCGTCGCATATATCTAACCACACGTTTCTAGGATGACCTTCCTTGCGGGCAATCGTGCTTGCATGTACGGTGTTGATTTCTCCTGAATCTAAATTCGTTCTAATCATACGCTCACCTCAGAGGCTTCAAATTTGCCGAAATGGAAATGAGTGAGCCTTCTAACTTGCCGGTGATTCTTCACAATGACGAGCATTCTCTACCAGAGGACGTACTGGTGACTCTTGTGCGAGATATCCATTTCGCCCTGCCGTCAGAACCGGACGAAACCGGGCACGTGAAGGAAGTGTACTGGAAAATGAGTGGTTTCCACACACCAGTAGTTAAGGTGCCTGCAGGAGATGGGGAAACACCTCAGCTCCCTTTGACTATGCGGCTCGTCCAGAAATGATTCTGTTGTCGAACTAATTGTTACCGAGATCATGGTTTATTGCAATTTACAAATATAATGAAACTCACCTAAAAAGAAAAAAGTTTCAAACGAGTGTGGCTGAGTAGTACTCTAAGTAGTACCCGACGCGCGTTACACAACAACATTCAACTGAGTATATGCGCGACTATGAGTCAACTCGGGTCCGACGATGATACTCGCGACGACGCTAGAGTCCATGGCAATGGTTTCAATGAAAATGGTATGTTTTTATCGCAGTACTGAACAGTGAACACCAGGGACCTTATGTTGTCATTATAGAACCTTTGGAGAGCGCATATAACAATGGCAAGGGTATCGCAGTCTCCGTGACATTTACCCCACTTCTACCACCTCCAGCAACTGGAGAAAAACGCCGCAAGAATGCTAAATCACCACCCATAAACCGTGCCTTCTTCATCCACGAAGATTCAACCCTCCGCGACCTTCTCGATACAACATTCGAACACTATGACGTCTCCGAGAAAATGATGTACGGTATTGGGAATCGATCAGGTCTTCTCTCGGCTACCAACTTCACGATCACGTACACAATCCTTCGCACGAACTATAAGAATATTGTTCTCGCAAACCTCAGTGATTTCGACACAATCATGGAGGAAGTCAAAGAACACCGGTCACCAGCCTTCAAATTGACTATCATCGAGACCAAGGTATGTATTTTGGGTGTTTGTATGTGATTTGCAGTAAGCTAAATACATGGTAGTATGATGATGGCGAAGAAGCTGAAGAAGATGAAGAAGCTGAAGCCGAACCTGCGGGTAAGAGGGTGAGATATATGTGTTTTGATTGTCTTCTTGTCACTCATGTTGTGAAGGCTGCAACAGGACCAACTGACGAGGAGATAGAGCAAAACGAGGCAATTGCAAATCTGACTCGTCAGTATACCTGCGAAGACCGAGCATGTGGTTTCCGTATCTGCTGGCCAGCTCCACCAGACACCAAACACATCAACCTGACACCATTACATCTCAACACGTGGGCTGCTGCGATGGTCTGCGTGATGTTCTGAAGTATGTAATCTGCATGTGTCACTAACAGGGTTATTACACAATAGGTTGGTCCGAACAAGCAGCCAGGTGTCGACTTAGACAATCCGCCAAACACGAAGATTTTCGATGTTACATACGCAGACCCGACTGATATTGCTACTCTCTCACGTCGACGTCTCAATACAGTTACCCAAACCCAATCCTCCGCACCAAGTATTGTCATCAACAATGACTTCAAGGATATTGTGGGCCTCCTGCATGGCAAACGTGGACCTGATCATGCTGCCAACATCCCACAGCCTGCTGCTCTTCGTCCGAAGTTGAGTTTGATTGATTTTTGTGAACGCTTCAACCTATCGCTATGGCTACGTGAGAAGTTGGACAACATTGACGTGACAGGCCCACACTGTCTTCGGTTCCTTCAGAATGCTGACTTGCTTGGTGCTGGACTGTCTCTTGGTGAGCTTGCAGATATTCGCGATGCCGAGGAACGGTGGATGCTTGATGCTTAGTTTGTATGGCTCCGAGCTTTCAAAGTGTATTTTTCGGCTGCAGTATTCACAGACACCCATTCATAATATTATGCTACTGTATTGTAACAATGCTATGGTCAAGCAAGATAACCCGAGTGACGAAAGAAGCCCCAAGTCATCTTGGGTGTTATGACAGAACATGCAGTGTACAGCTCATAGTAAGGAGCCTTAGGCCCATAGAACCCTAACCCTTGGCGACGGAGATGTGACTTGATTGCGGAGAATGCTTGCTCAATAGGATTGAGATCCGGGGAATATGGTGGTAAGTATTCAATGCGACACCCTGACAAAATAGTGAGACAACTCCGTATCACAAGCTTTATTATACTGACCATAAGCATGAACAAGCTCTTCGATTTCCTCCGCATGGTGAATACGAGCATTGTCCATAACCAACACACTCCGTGGCCCTGGAAATGGAGTCGTGATAGGAAGCTAATAATAACAGCTTACTGATACATCACAACGACACTGACAGTTTGAAAACGAACCACATCATTTTGCAAAAAATCGATGAAAGTCTTGCGATTGAATGATCCTTCAACAACTTTTGCAGCAATGATGCCCTCATCAAGAGCCAATCCTGCTACCATTGAAAACCGACGTTTCCGAACAAATGGTTGATGCTGCTCAGCACGTGCACCTCGCGGAGCACGTCCCCAGCGACGCGAGTATGTACGGTCATCTTTTGAAACTTCATCCAAACAGAGTAATGAAGCTGGCGAGTATTGCGAGACACGACGAACGAAGTCTGCGTGACATAGAGAGTCACGTTCAGCTGCAATCTTCTCAATGTGCTTGAGATTGATGCCAGCACGCTCAAAAGATCGGTGAATGGTGGATAGTGATGTCTGTAGAAACCGGCCATCCTGAAGTCTCAGCTGGTATTCATCGAGGAATAGGGTGGGGTTATGGCGAGCAAGCCGAATGAGGAACTGGATATCATGCTGGGTGAAAGTACGAGGCCTGCCCCTGCCAATTGCCTGAATTTTGGCTACACTGCCAGTGGCTCGTTTACGACGTTGTGTGCGGTAGATGGTTGACTTTGAGATCTGTGTGATGGAGAGGATTTCTTTGGTTGCATATCCTTTGTTCGCCATTCGCAATGCAGCATCTTTGAGGTCGTTGCTGATCCGTCTATTGCCCATCGTGGAGAAGAGTAATGTGTGACTCACGAGATGCTGGCTGAGGCTGTACGCTGCTGTATGCCACACGCAACAGGTGACCAATTCCGAAAATATATATTTTTACACATTCGAAGAGTGTCATTGTTTATGAAAATCGCAATAATGTGAGTGATTATAAGCTGTCCAGATGCCATGGCTCAGTGATTTCGCGCAGTTCCTGTTGGTGCAAGAGGAGAGCACGCAAGGCCAAGTATTCTCGTGTCCATGAGATGTATGAGGACCACGAATCTTTCTTAGAAGTGCTGTGATGATCAGTCGTCCCAATACCAAATGCCCGCGTCGAATGTCTAGACCCCACGGTCTTAAAAATTTGGCGAGTCGATATCATTTATGGCTAAACAAGCGCCGGTGTTTGTGCACATGCAAGTATTACTAGTTCACTAATACTGTGCGATCGAGGAGAAATTATATACCACGCCATGACATGGTCTATATTGAAACCTTGGTCTTGTGAAACCTATCTTTCGAGAGCGTTGAACGACAGTCGTGATTGCTACCCTAACCATAAGTCGCACCGGCTTCGGAAACGCGAGGTTTGGTACGATACTTGACGGTGTTACATCGAGCACGCTGATCCACGATGTGACTTGAGGCGATGTGCTGTTTGGGTTGATAAACATGAAGACCTTGCATACCTTCACTAACTCCTGTGTGAAGGCCAGGTGATGAGCAATCACCTACTGGACAGGCTAAGTTTGACAAGATACTGGAGAACCCTTCATACAGAAGGAACGACTGTCTTCAAGCTTCGAGGCTCCTTCCGATCTTTCAAGGCCTGACTACGGGAGACTTCTAGTTAGTACCGGAGATTGCTTACGGTGGGCAATGGGCATGAACTGCATGCTTGTAAACGGGGAACCTTCATCTATCTCTCGTTTAGCTATTGAGAATGTGCTCGTCCGCTATGTACATGGCGAAGAAGTTGAGAATAATGAGCGGGATGCGAAAGTTTCAAGATGCCAGATGGATACAAATAATGAGCACTGCAATGTTGCAGCCGACTTTTGCTCCGAGTAAGCTCGGACTGCTAAGTAGTTCTCTTGAGTACCAATACTTATCTTCTTGAAATTTGCAAGTTGCTGTCACGCTCCACGACGACCGTGTTCCATTGCCGCAGCCTTTGAACGTTTCAGCTGGCACTGCTAGTCCTGTCGTACTCGGCGGCCGACAGTTTACGAAGTACTGTGATACAGAGTTCAAACCTTCCCGAATGACCTTCCCTCAACTTATCGGATATACTGTGCTTACCCTTCTTACCCATGCAGTATGGAAGCTCGTTCAGAGATGGGCCTCCAGAAAGGCGAACGCCCTAAATGTCGCAGGCCCAGAAAAAGAGCATTGGTGGAAAGGTTTGCTTAGGCTCTAGCGACATTCAATGATCAGATACTCACGTTCATGGATGCAGGCAACCTGGAATCAATATTCTTGGACAGTTTTGATCGCTGCTTACAGGTCGCCGTAGATTATGGTGGAGCTGTCAAAATCCACGCCTTGTTCGGAGTGCGTGATATACATCACCGTGCATAAGGCATGATTATTGATGTGTGGTCACCACTGGCAGGAGGAATGGCTGTACGTATCGGACCCACGCGCGCTCCATCACATCCTTGTCAAGGAGCCACATATATTTGAGGAAAATGATGCCTTTATAGAGTAAGCCTCAAACATTGCTCGAACATTCTTCATTAACACTTCTTAAGTTGCAACAAGCTCATCTTCGGCGAAGGCCTTATTTCTACGCTAGGTGAAACCTGTTGATAATCGCCGCGGATTGTGTTCATCGCTGCACAGGGCAACAGCATCGAAACCAGCGCAAAATGCTCAATCCAGTGTTTTCTACATCTAACATGCGGGAGCTTCTGCCCATTATTCAAACCATTTCCCGCCAGCTAAAATCCATCATCGTGTCAAACATTCCTACCGACAGTAAGCATGTTCATGCACATGCACGTCATCATCCATGACTTCACCAGTGGCATATACAGATTCAGTAGAACTCGATGTTTTACCTTGGCTCTCTCGCAATGCTCTTGATTGCGTTTGCGAGGGCGTGCTGGGCTATCATTCAGGTTCGTTAGACACAGGAAATGAGAATGAATACACAGAGGCGCTACGGATGCTAGGGTGCGTAACTAGTCTTCCAGTGAAAACATCCCATGACATGCTTGGTCTCACAGTCCATCCATCACTAAAAACATGATATTTGGACCCTTCGTCCCGGCATTTTTGCGCACTTTCTCTCTTTACTGGCTTAAGAAAATAGCAGAGTGGCTTACGATAAGTTGGTTGCCGACGCAAACCATGAGGGATTTTAGAGAGCTACGCCGCATAGTCGAAGTCATGGACTTAGCCAGTAGAAGCATTTTCCAGGAGAAGAAGGCTGCACTGGAGATACCTTCCGCTATCCCATCACAGTCCCATGACACGTCGGGAGGAACCAGGGGAAAGGATATCATGTCTATCATGCGTGCGTAATGATTTACTCCCGAAATCTATTCCTCACGTGGAACATACGCAATACGCAGTCAAGGCTAATGCCTCATCTTCCGAGGCAGATAGACTGAGCGATGCCGAACTTGTGGGACAAGTGAAGTCAGTTCGAGTTGTTTCCCTGCGACAAAAACTGATTTCTCTAATACACAGCGTTATGATTTTTGCTGGTCTCGAGACTACGACAGCTGCAGTGGCTCGTGCATTGTACATGGTTGCCAAGCACCCTCATGTCCAGGCACAACTAAGAACGGAGATCTGTGATGCCATGACTGCATACGAAGCTTCCAACGTCGACCATTCACATGAAGGCGGATCCACCAGACTGTCATACGATGCATTGATAAATCTTCCTTTCCTAGACGCGGTTGTTCGAGAAACGTTGAGGCTCTATCCGTCGCTGCCTGTCCTCACTCGAAGGTTAGTTGATCGAAGAGAGACATTCCCTGCTGACTCTCCCGAAGAACTACAGAAGCAGCGTCAGTGCCATTACAATTTCCAGTTCGATCTGCATCTGGCGATGAGATCGATACGATTCCTGTTGCTAGACATCAGAGACTAGTTGTATCCATCCTTGCTGCGAACCATAATCAAGCTGTCTGGGGCGAGGATGCATCAGAATGGAAACCTGAACGATGGCTTAACTCTAATGAAGGTTAGTTTTATACATTCCAAAAGAGGTAGTTGCTCAATAAGAATCTCTCAGCCGGGGTCCAGGATGGTGTGCGATATACAGGTGTCTATGCGTCCATGTAAGAAACAATTGTTTTGTCGCATATGTCTAACCACGCGTCCTTCAGGATGACCTTCCTTGCAGGAAATCGTTCTTGCATGTACGATGTCAATTCTTCTGAATCTGAATCTGTTCTAATGATACGCTCACCTCACAGAGGGTTCAAGTTTGCGGAAATGGAAATTAGTGAGATATCTGACTTGTCGGTCATCAGATCTTCGCACTGACGAGCTTTGTGTACCAGAGGATGTATTAGCGACTCTTTTGCCAAACATCCATTTTGCCCTGCCGTCAGAACTGGACGACAATGGGAACGTGAAGGAGATATACTGGAAAATGAGCGGTTTCCACATACCAGTAGTTAAGGCGCCTGCAGGAGACGGTGAAACGCCTCAGCTCCCTTTGACTTTGCGGCTCGTTCAAGAATAATTCCATTGTCTGACTGATCGTTGCTGACTATTGGTCATTGATTATGCAGCTATCCAGATACCCATGGGCTGAGTAATTTCACGCAGTTCCTGGTGGTGAAAGAGAGTATTCATGAGATCCTTGTGGACAACGAACTGTAGATGATCAGCCGTTTGAACACCAATGACCGCGTCGAATGTCTACATCACCGTGGTCTTGAATCTTTGACCCAGGGGCGTGATCCTTATACTTAGGGAGACCTGGGTCTTGTCATGTCGGCCGTTGTGACTGCCATCCTCACAAGCTGCACCAGTTTCGCAAATGCGAAGCCTTGGTACGGTCCTCGGCGATACTTCTGCGTTACGTTGAGAGCACCCTGATCCACACATCCGTCTCGTGCTCCATGTTACTCGAGACGATATGTTTAGTAGACCTTGCATACCTTCACTAACTTGCGTATGAAGGCCGGGTGATGAGCGATGAGATGGTGGTAAGAATATGCTTGTCCACAATGTGGCTAGCGGAGAAGTTGAGAATAAATATGGCGATGCGAAAGTATCAACACGGACACATAAATAATGACGCGAACAAGCTGCTCGCAAGAAGTTATCGCCAAGCTGATCCATCGGTGCCAGCTCGAGTGGCTGAGAGACGTCTCTGCGTCAACGATTCCCGGCCCGCATCTGAGTCAATGCAATACACCATCATGCTTATAGTCTTCGTACCATGGCCAGCAGTGTCGTATATAAGCTTGATGACCTCGTCAAATGATTCTAGATAATGATGACGCACCACCGGTCCTCTAACAGACAATACACTGAGGGCTGCAATCGGAGGTCAACGTCCAATGGAACGGTCAATTTCTCTGTATAAGTAATTCTCAATGAGTGAAATCTCAAACATGGACACGGAGAACAAGTGGGTGGAATGGACATGAGATAAGTTCACGCCAAGCCTCAATGTCTCCGCGATCGCAACAGCTGCAGGCCTGCTGACGACGACGAAGCTGCCATTTGACGAGTGGTCACTGGAATGAAAGTAACAGCTACACAGCACGCGACTGTCGTGCTCGTGAAAGAACACCGTGAATAACCGGTAGGTTGAAAAGGGGTTGCCTACCTGTAGCAAGCTACGCAAGATTGAAGAATTTTGCTGGTCTGGACCCATCGCTGCTCAAATTTGCTGCTCCAGACTGGAACTTTCCGGACAGGTCAGCGTATCTCCGCCTCGACACTTGAATGTACAACATTTCAGCGGACAAGACAGCGTGTGTGTGCGCAAGAGGAGCTTGCGCGACTTCACATGACCAAAATGTACAGCACCGATCATGCTGCAGTACCCGCTGTGCTCATTGGAGTGTGCGTGCGGCACGTACCTGGCAACTCAACCACACAAAGCTTCGCAAGTCAACTTCAGTGGTCCGTTAACTCTGCCTCCAAGTTAATAAAACTAGATAGAGTAGACATTACAAAACGAAGGGGGCAGATACGTTTGAGGCGGACCGCGGAATCGGTCATTTGTATGTAGTACGACTTAGGCTTGGCACAGACGTCTGAGATAAAGTCTAGCAAAGGTCCTCTTTGCGACTTGAATGGCTGCTGATGCAGTTGATCATGATGGTTGAGCGCTCCGTTGATGTCGGACCACACACCTTGGGAGTCCGATGGTGACACTGACAACAAAAGTTGGTGCCAAAGCGTCCGCCTTCGAAGAGCGTGGATCGTAGTGCCTCCTGTTACCTCCCGTTAGATTATTTGAAATGAATAATATTGGTTTTGAGAATTGGCGGGGAAAGATAGTACAGCCCGTCAAGTTGTCAAGACAACGCTCGCATCAATCCGTCGGTCCTGTCAGTTTTTACATAATCCTTCCTACTATACTCCTGAAACATACCCTGCAAGAGCAAATTTCTACCATCTCCCTTCGTGTTACCGCGCCAAAAAAAATACCCAGCCCACTGCCGCGTCAGACCTCGTCATGATTCCCCCTTTATCAAGTGCAAAACAGGATCGTCCCTGAAATTCGTGATCAGCCGCAAGCTTAGTACACAACAATGACAGTGACTAGCTGTGTCTTTCGAACTCATTACACCAGATAAGGTAGCTGGTGACGAGGAGTAGTCGCAGCCAGACCAATATAAGTAAGAGGTAAAGTTGCCGTGGTGCGGTTCTGAACTGCCCGAACCGGTTCTGCACCGCGAACTGCACCGACAGTGCGGTGCGGTTACGGTTGGGTTCGACTGATACGCACTGGGAGAGGTTCGTGGTTCGGGCGCTGGGCTTTTTGTGTGAACCGTAGCGAACGTGTTCGAACCGTAACCGCACCATATGTACTACAAATGTTGAATAATCATTTTGAGAAAGAGGAAGCTCAATTTTTGTTTTGGTCATGCAGCCGGCAGAAATTCTAAAAACACTGATCTACCTATTCAACTGCGAGCAGCGAGTACGTCAAAATGCCTCCGCAATTCGATGCTCCAGCACTCAATCCCGACGGCTCCCTAAAAAACGCTGAAGAGATGGAATGGGTTCAATCTCCTACTAGTCAACACACACCTTTGACCCTCAAAATACCTGCAAGGAATAGGCCGTCTTCACCAACCCCATTAAAAATTATATCTTCAACCCCCGCTGACTTCACGAATCCTCGCAAACGAAAAACGGCTGACAATTCCGCACCTGCAGCAACTTCCGATCCAACGCTAACGGCATTAACTCGCCCAAAAGGGCAGGCTGGTACCAACGCAAAGTCGAAGAAGACTGTAACCACATAATACAGTAACATATACCCGTCTCAGACGGGCAGCCGGGCGTGACAATGTACTGATAGAGATGGGCCATCCGGTGTGGGCCGGTGGCAATAATTGTACCGTGATAGACGAGTGGGCCGAGGGTGTGGTGTATCCGAGGCAAACGGATGGGCCGGGGGTATATAGTATGGATGGTAATACAGGAATGTACTATATAGGATATCAACAATAGTAGTGAATCCAGTGGGATAGACGAGTGGGCCGGAGTAATGGAGTGCAATGTAAACGAGTGGGCCGGTAAAGGAGGTAAAATGGAGACGGGTGGGCCGCGTGATAGGGCCGGTAAACGAG